ATACCCCCGAATCAGCTCTTGAGAGACAAGCCGAGAGAGGGAAACAAGCCCATCAGATTTTATAACTGCAGTACACCCAGGGTCTATATTGCGGGTCTTTGTATGATGGCAGTTTTCAGTAACTATCCATGGAAGGGAAGAATATATTATTACTCCTTTCTCGTAAAGAAAACCTGGTCTCGGGCAAGTTTAGTACCTAGTCTAACATCCTGTGAAAAGGAAGTGGGTGATTGGGATTGAGCCGAGGTCCGTCTGCTTCCTGGACATTTGTCATTTTGCTCTTACCAGGGGAAAATAACTCATTCTACTGTCTGATATCATCATCAGTGAGCCTCTGGACTCAGACCTCCTCAGCTAGGCCTCCTGTGGACCTTAGAGAAGCAAGTGACTTCTGAGAGCTGTGGAGTAGCCATTTCCCCGGCTCATGGTCAGAGCGGGCCCCAGGATCTGGAGGTGGCCTCGAGCATCTCCAGTTCACCTCCGGGAACACCAGGAGGGGTCTCCCAGGAGAAGTCAACCACGTAGGACCTTAGCACCCCTGATGAGTTTTAGATTTCATTAGCTGCCCTTTTTAGCACAGTCCAGGGGAAATGGGAGGCTCCCAGGAAAAGTGATACAAAAATGCTAGCTTGTATTGAGAGACTGCTTCCACTCATCAGTTCCCTCACACTATTGTATGTGGAAGCCCACCGTTCTATGAGGGAGAGGCTGCAGAGGCCAGGCAGCTCACCAGGAGTGGAGCCAGGGCATGGCTCCCAGTTCTGACACCCCAGAGCCATTTCCTGACTATTATTTTCCCCTCCCAGAATAAAAACCAGACACTTAAAAGTCGTGCTGGGGGACCAGGACCTGAAGAAGACAGAGTTCCATGAGCAGAGCTTCCAGGTGGAGAAGATCCTCAAGTACAGCCAGTACAATGAAGAAGATGAGATTCCCCACAATGATATCGGCAAGTGCCCTTTCTTGTGTCTCCCCTGCATCTCAGCCTGGGAAGACCCTTCCACTGCTGCAAAGATGAGGGTTCACCCTGGAAGGTGCTCTTGATCACTTGGTTCCTGTGGACCCTGTAGCATAGAGAACTCCTGAGCTTTTCAGTTCTTAAGAGTGTATGTGAGGGCTATGTGGACCAAAGGGCACAAGAGAAATGCTAGGTATGCTGTACTGTGCACAGCGCTTAGCTTGAATCCCAGCTCCCCTCAAGGCCTAGCCAGGAGCCAGGTCACCTCCCTGAATCTGTTTTCTCTTCTAGAAGATGGGGGTGCATTAAGAGTCGTGATAAGCACTGGGGGAACACTTGGCACTTGTGGGCGATCAGGTAGAGAGGCAATGACGGTCTTAGGTTGGTTACTGGATACAGGCCTCTGGGTCCCATTGCCTACTTCCTGGCATGTCTTCTCCCTCCTCTCCCTTCCCCTCCTCTTCCATTCCCTCTTCTTTCTTTCCCCCTCACCTCCCCTCCTTTCTTCTCTCTTCCTCTCATTTTTTCTCTCCTTCTCTCCCCTCTCCTCCCCTCTCCAGGCTCCTCTCCTCTCCCCTTCTATTTCCCCTCTCCTGCCTCTTCTTCTTCCCCCTCCCCTCCTCTCCTCTGCTCTCTTCTCATTTTCTTTCCCTCCTCTTCTCTTCCTTTTACTTTCTTCTTTCTCTTCTCCTCTGTCTGTCTCTGTCTCTGTCTGCCTCTGTATCTCTGTCTCTGTCTTTCTCTCTCTTTCTCTGCCACATACTTTTAAAAATGGATTTAAGCTGGGAACTGGTAACTCATCCCTGTAATCCTAGATACTCAGCTGAGATCTGAGGATCATGGTTTGAAGCCAGTCCAGGCAGGAAAAATCCACGAGATGTCGGTCTCCAATAAATTACTCAGAAAAGGCTGGAAGTGGCACTGTGGCTCAAGTGGTAGACAGCTAGCTAGCCTCGAGCAGAAGCAGCTTGGGCACAGCACCCAAACCCTGAGTTCAAGCCCCAGGACTGGCAAAAAAAATTAAAATTAAAAAATTTTAAAAAATGGATTGAAATTGCCTTCAAGTTAAATTATCTTTCTTGATATGATTCTCTGCATGCAGCTCCTTCACGGTGGAAGCTTAAAAACTTAAATGACAGAGTGAGCAGGTTTTCAGTCGTGGGTGGGTAAAGTGAGCTGGAGCCATGCTTCCCTAAGCAGGAGCTGAGCACCAGCCACCTTTTCTCTTTCCCCCAGCTCTGCTCAAGCTCAAGCCAGTTGACGGTCATTGTGCTCTGGAGTCCAAATACGTGAAGACCATCTGTTTGCCTGAAGCACCCTTCCCCTCTGGGACAGAGTGTCACATCTCTGGCTGGGGAGTGACAGAAACAGGTATGTCTGGACCGCTGTTCTCCCAAGACTCAGGAGAACTCTACTGACTAGAGGAATTAAGGGCCAACTTCATAGGCCCTCTGGCCCTTGAAATAAGTTCCTAAATACATTGTCAGCAGTGTCTGTCTCTTCACTGAGGCACTGGGTAAATCTCACCATGGGCAAGGAACATTCCTCCATCTTCCCCGAGGTTACAGTGCTCCCTGATGCCCTCCGTCAACCCTGACCTTCCTTGGGCATTGATCCCATGTCGGTGAAGACCAAGCCTCTTCACAACACTGGGAACAGAACATTGGTTTCAGGCAGACATGCATTTGTTTCTTGGCCTTGTTGCTCAAACGACTTGATTTTAGTTTCTTATTAATCATACTTAGCTCCAAGGCTTGAAGTTCTTATGGTCACAGCAAGGTTAGACAGTTGAACACAGAGAAATTCAGCTGAGTATCTCAAGTCTTTCTCAAATATTCAAAAGCTATTTTTTGCCCCACCCTATCTTGTCCCTAATCATGGAAAGCAAGAATCACTTTGAATAGGTCTGCATTCATGCAGAATGTAAAATGGAATATACACATTTGTCAGAGGCTTTTGAGAAAGGAAATTTCTAGCTAATTGGACTTGAGGTCAACCAGACAAACTCTTTGTAGCTATCTTCATTGCAGTCTATCTAAACCTTTCCACCTCTATTCTGCTCCATGTGGTCTGCTCAATGTGGTCATGACTTCGTTGGGAAATCTTACAGAGCCTTGGGTTAGAATGATTTTATTTTTTCACAAATAGTTCTCTAAGACTATCTTCAAAGATAACATTTTCTTTTCTTTTGTGGTATTCAGCAGGCCTCCAGCATGCTAGACAAGTGCTTTAACACTTGATCTAGAAGTGTGGGAACATCTGGGTTATGTGCCACATAAGGCCCAATAAATCATTTGGTACAGGACAAGACAGACATACAGGCTTCTTGCGTTCTTCTCATTGGTTGCCAGCAGCTATCTTCTTGTATTGGTAATTTTGTGTGGTCTGTGATCAATGTTATAAATATCCAAATGGCCCTTGGTAGAAAAAGAAGTCTATCCCTGAGTCTTGAGCAATATCTCTAGCCCTTTTGAATTTTATTTTTTGAGATGAGGTCTTGCTTATTTTGTCTCAGATGATCTCAAAGTCACGCTCTTCCTGCCTCTACCTACTTTATAGTGGGGTTTACTAGTGTGAGCCACCATATCTTTAATGGGAGAAGGATATCTTCCGTGGGAAACAGGTAATTTAATGCACCAGGACACTTAACCAACCCATCCATCTCCCATCCATCCATTCATCCATCCCTCCAATCCAGAATCTACCTCTCAGGTCTTCTGCTAAAGACACCATCCCTGTTTTCCCAAAGCATATGGTCTAGTTGGGAGACAGAAATGGGAGTAAGTAACTGATCTTGGTGATAGGGCAGCTGTGCAGATCTGCACCAGCATGATACATACAGGCTGAAGGAAGGATTCCCAATGCTGGAAGATGGGCTTTTCTACCATTTCCTGGGGGGGGGGGGGCTTCCTTAGGTGAAAGCCAGTGGCCTTTTTCTTACTACTGTTGACTTCAGGTTGGGTAGGTACCACTCTGATGCCCAAGGTAGTGACTTTTTTTTTTTAACTACACAGGGGATGGCTCCCGTCAACTCTTGGATGCCAAAGTCAAGTTGATTGCCAACAAGCTGTGCAATTCTCGCCAACTCTATGACCACATGATTGATGACAGTATGATTTGTGCAGGCAACCTCCAGAAACCTGGTCCAGATACCTGCCAGGTCAGAGACTCCAAAGGGTAGTTGGAGGGGCAGGAGGAGAGAATGACAAGATACTATGCTAGAACAGAGACCCCTTAGACACCTAGGATGGAAGGCTCTGAGTCTACACAGCCAGGGTGACTCAGCATAGGGGTCGGCTGCCTGCATTATCTGACTTTACTCCTACAACATTGGTGAAGGGGAGGCCACCATCATTATCTCAGCTAATAGCAACTAGAAGTTGTGGTCACCTGCCAAGCAAAGTAGAGGACCCCTGAGAACTGAAAGTGGTGATCCCATTGAGTCAAGAAACAGGGCTTTGTGCACAGGGATGTAGCTCTAGCTCGGGGCTTCTCTGCTATGCCCTCTGAGACTCAGGACTGGGGATGGTGTTAGCTTCTCTCCCATGCCTCATATCATGGGAGGTACAAGAAGTCTTGTCACTGCTTTCCAGAGAAGTCCCTTACCCCAGAGAAGTCCACTACCCCATCACTCCTGCTACCTGTCAGGTGTCTGGATGTAATCCGTTTCCCAGGACTAACTCCTGCCACTTGGCCCTTCAGGGTGACTCTGGAGGCCCCCTGACCTGTGAGAAGGATGGCATCTACTATGTCTACGGGATTGTGAGCTGGGGCCAGGAATGTGGGAAGAAGCCAGGAGTCTACACCCAAGTCCCTAAGTTCTTAAACTGGATCAAAGTCACCATACAAAGGGAGGCTGGCTTCTGAGGTGTTGTCCTTTGAACCTCAAAGCCTCTCCTCCTCTGCACCAGACAAGGCAGGCCCCTCCTGGGTGGCCAAGGACGCCTCCCTACGGTCTCCAGAAGGCCACATGACAGAGTGGGCATGCCCTGGGCAGAGGCAGGTGCTGCCAAGCCTGGGCATGGCTGCACCAACTTTTGTTCCATTTAAATCAGACTCCTTCTCCTCCCCACCCCGCCCAGGGACCCCCAAAAGGATGCAACCAATGTAAAATGTAAACATTTGCTTCCCTCCCAACCACTGTCCTGGAAAGAAGACCAAAACACAATTTCCATTTGCTCTCAGAGTTGTCATTTAATGACGACAGATCTGGGGATGGGCTGCTATGCTGTTTTAACAGCTTGCCCCCACCAAAGCCATCTAAATCACATTTCTGGCTAGCAAACTTCCACTGTGGTTTCTCTCTCAGTTCCCTCACAGCAGCAGAGCCTTCTTCCTTTTGACATGCAGAATCTCAGTGGCATCTGGGTTCACCTGCCCATGTGGATGATCTTCAGTCTCCACTGCCTCCAGCCCCCCCTGAAGAAATTAAACATACCCCCCATGTTAAGAGGCGCCTCCTTTCCCCACCTCACAAGATATACTAAGACCCCCAGATGCATGCTCACCGTGTCCCCTCTCTACCCTGCCCAAGGAAAAAGAACCTCAAGGCAAAAATGAGAAAGAAGCCAAGGCAATCCCTCATTTAGACATGGCATCTTTCTTCTGAACAAAGTAGGGTTCAAAATGCAGACTGTTATCGCCAGCAAGTCCCTGACCCTTTCCGCACATGTAACGAGCTAGCAGTCAGCACAGCCCGGTCTGCCCTGGCCCGGGATTGATGTCGCTCTGGTAGGTTTGCCTCTGCAGAACTAATGGCTGTGACTTCAGAGAAAACCCTGCAGGAAGTTTAACCCACATGTCACCCACCCGGTCATCTCAGACCCATGAAATTAGGCGCCTTGCTTGAGCTGCATTTCACACTTCTTTAGAGCCGGCTGACCTTTGGCCAAAAATAAACTTTGAAAAGCAACAATGAGTTTGCCTTTCCTGTGGTTTTGCAAGGCAGAGTGGATTTGTAGCTTTCTACTCACACAAGCTCCCCGGAGACCCAGCGCCCTTGCATTGGCCAGTTCTGCAGCCCGCCGAGCCATTTCTACTTTGTAGGAACCGGGAGGGGTCCAGCCAACACCTCGGGTCAGGTTCAGATCGGATTTGTACTTGACCTTGGGAAAAGGAGGAAAAAAGAGGAGTTTGTTGGCAGAGTTTGGGGTGCTTTACCACAGAGGAGATAGGATTTAAAAGGCAGCTGTGAGATTCAGAAGATGTGGTTGCCATTAAGACAACAAGATGTCATGTGTTGAGCCTGACTGGCGTGTGACTATCCTTCCAGTGGTGGTAGCTGCACCGGGAGTATGGTAGGCTGGGGCCTCCTGGTTCAAGTCTGAGCTCCGAGGCTTTAGGGAGGTCACTTCCCTTGGCTGAGCTTCAGGGACTGGTCAAGGGCCAGGCTAGGTAACTCTTGTGTGATCCCTTAGAAACAGTATAGCATAATGACCCCAGAGCTTGGGGTCTCACACTCAACATCCAGGGCCTGCCATTCTGAGACTTGTCTATAAAATGAGGCATACTTGTCAATAAAATGCCTGGAAAGCATCAGCCTACAGCAGAGATGGAAGCAGTGGTGGTTACTGGTGATTTCTGGTCCCAAAGTGTCATGTATCTTAGATGTCTTCCCCTAGAAGGTAGCATGGACTGTGTAAAGATGGCTCACATCACTCTGCAGCTGGTGAGCTTTCTGCGCATGCTTCAGGCTCAGCTGCTCTGGGTCACAGGTGGGCTGTGGCAGGGGCTGCCTGTAGTTCACATCACTGGCCAGTTGCTGGCTTCTCTTAGCCTGGAGGAAGCCAGGCTGGTCTGGGCGGCTGTGGAACTGGGACCGACTCATGGCAAAGTCCTTCTTGTACTCGTTGTCACTCTGGAGCCTGCTGACGTTGAGGAAATGTCTCATCCTTGGGTCATCATGGATGCTGCGGTACCCAATCTGCAGACCACGGTCGCGCAGGAAGGCCTCTTTGTACCGGAACTACAGGTCAGAGGAGCAGAGTGGGGTCATAGGGGCCCACCTCCCCCCTGGGTCAGCCTATCTGATAGGGCCAGCTCACAGGGTTCTCAACTGGAAGCCCAGCAGTGGGTTAGGAACACAAGTGTTGGATCCCGGAAGACCTAGCTGTGAGGTCTGGGGCCAGTCATTGAGCCTCTCAGAGCCTTGTTTTTACCATGTGATAAAATTGGAAAAAGAATCTCTATCCCAGTTTCATTGAGTAAATTCAATGAAGCAAGAGCTGAGCTTCAAGTCTAACACCAATCCATACCCACTGATGGTGGAACCTGGTATTATTGATGCTTTAATTAATACTCTACTGGGAGAGAAGGCTGTCCATTCTGTTGCTGACTTCTTTCTAGTCTTCCAGGACCTTTTGTGTTCCTAAATTCCTTATTCATCATATATATTCCTACTATATACACTTGACACCAAAATTGGCCTTTATTTTCTTCAGTGAGACAAGCCACCAATCACTTTCTTGGATGCCAAAACACCAAATTGTTAAGGACATTACTGAATGACTGGTCTGGTACTTGGCTCAATGTGGACTGGCAAACAAACATGCATGGATAGATGTCCAGTGTCTAGTCAATGACATTCTCCTTTTCAGTAGTCACAGAGGCCTGTTATGTGTCAGACATTACAAAAACAACTGTTTTCCTTCCATCCCTACATCAATCCTATGAGACAAATATTTGATCCTTATTTCAGAGATGCAAATATTTGAGTTCAGATAATTTAAGCACTTCATCACAAACAAATAGCCATTCTACCTAAGAGACAACAACTGAGCCCTGGTGAGCAAAAGCTCCATTGCTTTCTCCTCTATCACAATGTGGTTCAGCTAAAAGAAGTTCCCATACTAGGAATCAACTAACCAGACATGTATCTGCTGACTTGTAGGTGTTGGTCCAACAACTTTTAAGAGTGCCTGTCCTAGATTAGGCACACTTATAATTCTAGCTACTCAGGAGGCAGAGATTGGAAAGGTCATGGTTTGAAGGAAGCCCAAGTAAAACATTATCCAGATCTCATCTCAAGCAATAAACCTGGTGTGGTGGTTCATGCCTGCCTGTCATCCCAACTATGTGAAAGGTATAAATAGGAGGATCATGGTCCTGGAAGGCCCCAAGCATAAACTGGGGCAACAGGGCAAGGGTGTGGCTGAAGAGGTAAGCTAGGCCCTGAATCCAAGCCCTATTGCTGTCAAGACAAAGGGTGCTCCTAAAACACAGAGTTAGAATACAACCTTCCCCAATTCTAAATATTTTGCTAAAATCCTAGAAAACAGGCCTGTTTTGGTATGGAGAAAAAGAGAGAGAGAGACAGAGAGAGAGAGAGAGAGAGAGAGACAGAGACAGAGACAGAGAGAGTGTGTCTTAGCGCCTGTCCTGAGCCTTCCAGCTGCACGGGAGAAAAAGCATGAACTCTGTCAGAGTGTAGGGTCTTACGTCACTGGCGATCTCCCTGGACACCCGGGCAGTCTGGAACGGGATGGCATCCAGCCTGAAGTCATAGCCACCAGCCCGGTTCTGCTCCCAAGACTTTCTGTAGACTTTCTGGATTGAAAAACCAAAGTGTGGGTAAGTAAGAGGATGTCGATGGCTTGAGTGTTATTTGTTCTCAGCAGGAGTGGTTTCTAAATATGGCATACTCCTGGGATGAAAGACCCATGGCCCCTGTCCATCTGGGGACTCCTCAGCTCTGACACTGGCGGGGCTAGTCATGAAGGATTTCTACTCTAAGCTTCCAACCTGCTGACTAGGCCCTGTTCTCATGGGGTTCCAGTCTGGCTCACTTGCCACACCCCTGTTCTCAGAGACCCCTACCATTTTTCCCATCTCCTCACTCATTCTTTGTATCTCATGTGTAGTCTCTAGATGCCAGAGCTCAAAGTACCAGATCCCAGTTTCTTCCCATGGGTGAACAGTGCTGTCTTTGGGTCTTGGAATAGACACAAGCATCCCATTGTTGATCCAAATATTAATTGGGACCCAGTGTTAATCCCATGGACTCCCAGGGGACCCCTTGGACTGGTTGGGATAACAGCACACCTTCAAGATGAGGCAAGCTATATCTCATGAGCATCCTAGGGGGCCCACGGGGAAAGCAGGAGCCCTCCACTGAACACAACATGTTATCAACACCTCATCAGGCCCCTGTCCCATGTCTCTCCTACTGTTTTTCTTCTTTTTGGATTTCTTCCCTTTTTCCATAGCTCTGACATCCCCTCTGGGAGTCTATAATCATGTCCTCTTAATCCTCAGTTTGAGCCACATCAGTGATAGGGGCCTCACAATTTTCTGTGCCTTCTTGGAGCTCATTTTTCTTTCAAGATAAGAGAATGGCTCCATGAAAGGAGTCTTCGGGAGGTCCCAGTGGAGGCTTGTCCTTTACTCAGCCCCACAGAAGGGAGACAACAGGGCAGCCACATCACCAACAGATTACAAAGTGACAGCCCCAGACCCCGTCATTGGCTCTCTTGTTCTGTGAGTGACAGCAGGTCATGGGGCGCCGAAGTGCCTTACTTTTGTCATCTGGAAATAGAGGTCAAGGCTGGTGTGCTGTTCTACAGGAGCTTGAGGGGGACTGAGCAAAGGAAGAGGCCAAGGGAAAAGCCAAGCACCTTACCCTCTCCCACACTGGGCCTGGGATGAGAAGGGACCACAGAGCGCTCGAGCAAACCAGGGGTCTCCTCATATTTATGTGCTACAGTCATTGTCACTTTTACTTCTAATCCTCACCTTTCACTCTGGTATCCAAGACCCCTAGTCATGGGCCAAACATCCACTGTATCCTGGAAGTCTGAACCCAGTTCTTGTTTAAGGAAATCCCTTAACAGATGGGTCACAGAATCAGAATGGTTAGATTTACTCCTTCACTGCTGAGCTGAGCAGCTAGGACTGAAAGGCACATATCAGGAGCAAAGCATTCAGATAATGGGAGATCAACAACCCTCATTAGTTAGTATCCTGCTTCCTGGATTAGTGCCCCCGTAGGTACTAGAGTAATAAGTAGAGTCAGGACCCCACTGCTCTCCATGTACCTTCTTGATAAGGGTCTCCATACCAGATGTGGGCCAGTTAATGACACTGAACTTTACACAACATCAAAGTCCAACATCATCTCTTTGATGCCCAATGGCCCCCAGCTTTGAGCCTCAGTGACAACGGGTTTAACTGTGGAGAGATTGGCCTTAGCTGGGGCTGGTTTGCTAGCTCCATTTCTCTGGCGCTCCTCACTGTATACTATTTGCTTGCTTGTGACCACTTTCTCCGTGAGTTTTCTATTCTGTTGGGGTTTTTGCCTTGCCACTGGGATTCTTTAGATTCCGCGGACTCTTTGATTTGGAACCCTGGGTGTTCCTCTTCTTGATCACAGTGGGCGCAGTTTTGTCCCCGTCCTCACACATTAGAGTCATTTGATTTTTGAGTTATTTCGGCTGCCTTACACATCTCAATAGCTTTCTTTGCCCAGGAAGGTCACTTTGCCTCCACGTCCTCCTCACACTGCACTTGATCCAATTGTGCATATTCCACACGCCCCCAAAGAAGTGCTCTTTCAAATGAGTTTCATGAGTTCTCTGCACCTGCAGGCCCCCGCAGCTAATTCCAGCTCTGGGACTCTGTGGGCTGGACCCCCTTTGTGAGAGAAAAACATGCTCCCTTCACCAGCCAGGGGTGGCTGTCCTCCTTAAGCAGGGACCCAAAATGAACCGGTAGTTTCAGCCCAGTTTCATGGCTGTGGGCCTCTGAGAGTCCTTCCAGTGAAGGCTTGGCCTCCCTATTGGGCATTAATGAGCTGAATGTTGTGTGTCAGCTCTGCCGAAGGGCGGGCCAGTTTTCCCGGATGGGAGGCCCGCCCACCAGAGCTGCTGTTCTAAAATTATCCTTGGTTCATCCCTCAAAAGTATCAAATGGTCATAATAACTCATATTTACAAAGCACCAGCGCATTCACCGCGTGGGATCCCACAGGGCTTTACAAACGTAACAAACTAATACACACGCTAACTAGAAGGCGCCTCTGCCAACCCCTGCGAGGCAGCCACCTCTGAGGTGAGCGGCAGCAGCTGTCGATCTGCACGCAGCCCCAGGATACAATGGCCAGGCCAAGGAGGAAAGAATGCCTGGGCTCTAGGAGGCCGCAGGCTGCCCCGGGCCAACACACTCAGCCTGTGTTGTTCCGATCTGACGGTGTCTTTTGATTCTGCTGCCTCTCTACCTGTTATCCGGGGATCACAGCCTTGCTGGCCGTGTGGCTGTCTATTCTGTTTCAACTGGGGGCCTCCAACCCCTGCTAACAAGAAGCCTGGATTTAGGAAACAACATCTTGGGTATTCACGCAAAGAGCATGCGTCCAAAGGGAAATTGGGAGTGCTGGAGGGTCAGGTTGCTTGCACAAAGGAGTGAGCTGTGTTGGGATGAACCCAGCTACCATAGAGCATCTTCCCAAACTGTGGGGAGAGGTGGTGCTACTCCATCATGGTGATAGTCCTCTGAATAGCTGAAGGGTCTCCACCTACTGGGCCCGTGGGTACCACTCCCTTGCCTGTAACTCGGCACAGCACTGAGGTCTTGGAGCCATATCAAGACCCAGAATTTGGAGAGCCAGAGGAAACGTCTATAGCTCAGCCTTATCCTGAGCCCTGGTGAGGGAACACGACCAAAAGTCACAGAAGCAGTTTGTCCTGATCTCCGTTCAGGTGCTGTTCTCTTCCAAGCCCTGTTCCTAGGGCTTTTTAACAAATAAAAGCCACAGATAGTTTTATAAAAGTAGACCCCTGCCCCATGAAGCACAAGCTCACTTACATCACTCAGGTGCCGCGCGTTGAGGCGAGCTCTGGTGAATTCAGGATGGTCAGGAATCAGGGTGTATCTGTGCAGGGATTCTGCGTCTCCAGCTCTGTACAGGCGCTGTGGGTAAGGCAGGCTTATGGTCAAGATAGCACTTTATTTGCTGAAAGCATTAATGAAAAGCAACTGATTCTTTTCCTGTCCCATCTCCTTGATAACCCACCCACCCGATAGAGCTAAACCCAGCCCTTCCTTGAATTTCCTTCTAGAACCCTCTGCTGGGAGAAGGGTGACTATGTGACCAAGGTCAAGTGCAGTGGCTGGTTTTAAATAAATCCTGGTTAAAAAAAGATTTCTCAAGAAAGATCCGCTGCAAATGGGCCAGAAGCCAGCACCTTGGTTGGCTATAACTTTTGTTTTGTTCAGTAGAAATGTGTGTGTATTTCAGAAAGTCTTTGCAATTAATTCATGTTCTTTTTGCTATTAATGAGGTGTGCACTCAGACCTCTGATTTTTGGTCACTACCCATCCTTTTTATTACAAAGAGGATTATATCGATCTTATTATAAAAAGGACATAATTCATTCTTTTCATTATAAACATGCCTTTATGCATTCAGAAAATTAAGGCTTTCAGTTCTCCTCCATCTCAGGAAAACCCAGTTTCCAAGACTCCAGCTTTATTGTTGTCACTATCTTAAGAATGGCAAACAAGTTTAGGAGAATATATTATAAATCCGATCCATTCCCCTACATGCGATCTGTCTGGGCTTTGCAAACATGAGCTGGTTTGGACAGGCTCTGTGAGATGGGGCCATTCTGTCACTGTGGGAAGGATGGAAACCCTTGGCCATTCAGGGGGAACAAAAAGACACATAGCTTCCTGTTCTTTGAAATAAATGCAAGAAAGGGGAAATGGGGCTAAATTACATGGGGAGCAAAGCAGAAAGAAGCTTGGAATATAACTGTTTTCTCTTTTTTTCCCTAACTGGGTTATATTAAGCTTTTAATAATATCGCTTTCCATTAGCAATTAAGATGATGAGCTGAGAGCTCATCAATAATATTTGGCATTATTATCATTATGAGTCTCACTATAATAAGGGGCATTTGTGGAAGACTTATTGTGTTCCTGGCATTTGCTAAAAGCTTTGTTTGCTTTTACTTGTTTAATCCTCAGTTAATTCACTTAATCAGTTAATTCACTTAATCATATGAAATGGCTGCTATCATTATCCCTCACCCTCCAACCCCCTGCTTCAAATAAGAGAGCCAAGATTAGAAGGGATTCACAATCTCTTCTAGCAATCATATGAGACAGAAGGTGCCCACCCACATCGGTCCAGAACCTGTATTCCTCAGCCCTGGCCAGTAAGTAACAGTACCTTTGCCATGTGCCCAAGTGAATGAGGACAAAGAACTCACCTCATTGCAGTGTATATAGCTATTTTGAGCATGAACCAGGTCTGGGGAATCAACCACTGTGGTGAACTTCATGCTGTCTGGTTTGGTACGGTATTTACTCTACAAGGAGAAGACAAAGATTCCCACACAACCCAGTCAAACATCATGGTTTATAATCCATCTTCACCCTGCCTTCTCAGGACCAAATGGACCAATGGCATCACTAGAAGACAAGTCTCTCTTCCGGGTGGGCACATAACTATTAAGACTATAGGAAAAATCCAAATTCTCCTTTGTGATCAGAAACATTGGATATTTATTTCTCCTCAATGTGAGAGAATTCAGTGAAAGTCAGCACTAATGGGGCCTTGCTCAGATCCTGTCTGTCCATGTAAGGTTATTAAGAGACTAAAGTTGGTGGTGACACCTCATGGGGATTTCAGGACAGGAATCCCAGGTCATCAGTCTGGAGGAAAGTCAGTCAGTGTTGCTATCCCTGTGCAACAGTTAACACCATCTGATGGCTGCTAGACAACAGGCACTTCCAGTAAATTCAGTGTGGAAGTACTCCGCCCTCTTCCAGTGAAAATCATGGACCATTCTAGGTCCTAACTGCATCAGGTATTTATTGAGGATCTCCTAATGTGTTTTACCTTTAGTACCCCAGCAGTGGAATTGTTTGGAGGGAAATGTCACTTAGTTTTAGAATTTGGTTTACAAATGGCCCTAGGATACTAATGAGTTGCCAGCAGCCCTGGTTCCCTCTTGGGCAATCCACTCTGTAAGCAGGCTCTGTCTTCAAAAGAAATGCTAGGTCACCCATATCATTTTAGGAGGACAGGCTTATGGTACCTCACTGATGAGTTTTCCCGCCTTCTTTGCACTCTCCATCTGTGGGGATCTCAGTGCCAGCCATCCGGTCCCCTTCATGCCTTCTAGGTCTGACTTGTAGTGAAACTGGAGGAAGAAAATCATAGGCTTCTATCAGGCCAGTATGTAGAATGATGAAGGCATTTCAAAACATCCTTGATTTGTAATAGCATGTGTAATTATGTTGCATCTCTACAGTTCAATCACTTCATTGTGAGTGGATCATCAAGTACAATTCTGAATTTATAGTTTTCTTTTTTTTTCCTCCCTGGGAATTAAATAGTGGGTCATGTGTAACACACAAAAATCCAGACTAGGGCTGGGAAGGTGGCTCAGTGGTAGAGCGCTTGCCTTGCATGCCTGAGGCCCTGGGTTCGATTCCTTAGCACCACATAAGCAAAAAGAAAAAAGCCGGAAGTGGCACTGTGGCTCAAGTGGTAGAGCGCTAGCCTTGAGCTGAAGAGCTGAGGGACAGCGCCCAGGCCCAGAGTTCAGGCCCCATGACCGGACCCCCCCCCCAAAAAAAAAAAAAAAAAGAAAAAAAGAAAAAAAATCCAGACTAGTGAATTAGCAAAACATGAAGCACAAAATAATGACATAAGTGGATGATTAATCTAAGAAAAAGCTGAGGGTCAGGCATGCTGGCACATGCGTATCTCCTAGTTACTACAGGTATAGGCCAGAAGATCATAGTCCAAGGCCAGTCTAGCCAAAAGCAGAAGACAGTCTCCACATACATTGTTCAGCTGATATCTGAAAAGTAAACTAAATGCTAAAGAATTGTGGCTTAAGTGGTAGAGCACCCACCTAACAATTGCAAAGCCTGGAGTTCAAATCCTAGTACCATCAGAGAGAGAAATAGAGAGAGAAAAAGAGAGAGAGAGCATGATAGGGATAGGGCTCAAATCCAAGCATCATGTAGGATTATTGTGTTGCATTCTGCCAGTAAAGCAAATGACTGCCTGAATAGAGCAATCTACACATTGTTCAGCTGATAAAAGGATATTGAGTCCTAGATAAACCTATAATGATTTAGAGCAAATCATTTTTTAAATCAAAATGTGACTCAGTTTCTCTCTGTCATACATGAAGGTCTTAATAATCCCTCTGTTCTCACAAAAAATGGTTTGAGAGCATTGTTGGATTTTTGTTCTCGTGGTAGTTACTGGAAGTGGTGGACATGAGAGTCAATTACAGGAGGACTTTAGCAACTAAAACAAATTCGCGTGCATCTGGCTAATACTGTCCATTTTAATCATTTCATGCCTCAGTTTACCTCCCCTCCCCACTGTTTGCTTAAGACTGCAAAAACAGGACAAGTCTTATCTTGCTTTCTCCATTTTAAGAGCTCAGAAGATTAAGCCTCTAGCACGATTTCTGAGAGGAAAAACAACCTAAGAGCTGCTTTAAGACAATGTGTCTAATTAGAGGCTCCCTAAAACGTCAACCCTTATGAAGATTCCTTGATCTGCCCACATTACCTACAATGAGTCAGCCACCAAATACCTTTCTTCTTCTCTTTATGGTAATTAGGTATTTTTTTAAAAGGTGAAAAATGCCTCTCTAAGGAAATCTAAAATTTGGATCTAAACGAAGTTGATGGCATTTCTCTAATTTAGATATAAGCTGTGCTGTAACGCAAAATATCACTCCAGATACCAGCCTGCCAGCCTTTTTAGTTGTCTTTCATTTCAGGATTCACAGTGCTCCTCACAGCTGGTCTCAAAGAGGGGCCGTTTCTGATCTACTGTCTGCTGGTTAATGCCCCGTGCAAATTCGACTCTGCCTTCCAACTGCTGAGGGAAGACATCACTCAGGCTGCGGAGCAGGTTTCAAAACCCCATGTCAGTAAGATTGCTTTTTTTATACCTCGATCTTTCAGTCTACACCGGCAAAGCTTTTGCCTTCGACTCTTGATAAAGAACAGAGAAAATTGGATAAATTTCTAAGTTGGAGAGAGTAATCCTACAGGGTCTCCTCACAGCCAGGCCTTCTCCCTTTCATAAGCCAGATGAAGTGGGGAGCGCTCTTTCAACTTGCCTTTTGTTGAGGGCTGAACAGTACGATCGCAGGTAAGTCAGAAAGCAAGATGCAGGCTCCCCAAAGATCTCTCTTATAAATGGGTTGTCTATTGATATCTCAGCTCTCAGCCCAGCTTTGACTATTCACGCAGACCCTAAAAACAACACATCTGCCCCAGACTTCAGGATAAAAGAGGGGTGAGGAGGAGAGGGGGAAGCTGAGAGGTGTCAGCTACCCCAAGATGGTTTGGGGAATAATTCCAAGGTAAGAACAGACCTGTCTTAAACTGCCCATTGAATCTGGCTTTGCCAAATGTAGCCTCACTCTTTCTTGTATGTAGAAAAGCCCAGAAGCCACCTGCAGATTCATACCTGGGGTTTCCCAGCACCCTCATTTTGGAGGTTTTATACATAGGCTAGCTGCAGCATTCAGTCTCTTTAGTTCTAAGGAACACAGGAAACTATGCCAAAAAATGTGCCCAAAGGGCTGGCTAGAGGAAGGGGCATACTGTGTTATTAATAACGGACATTATCATCACCATCTTGTTATAGTGCGTTTTTTTAGACCATTGTCTCATTCGGTGCTCAAATGATGGTTTGGGGTCTCAGAAGAGCAGTGACAAGATGTGCTCTGGGTAAGCCACACTGGTGGTGCTTTACAGCCCAGACTGGAGACCCCGGGCTCATAACCCAGCCATCCGGGAAAGCCAACGAGGCTGAACCAAGGCCCACAAGGCCAAAGCTAGCAGCCCTACTTCACTTCCTACAGTTGGAGGGTCTTGAGTAAGTCATTTTGCTGCCAACTTGTGGCCTGAATAAGTTAAATTAGCACCTTATTATTGATTGCTAAAATGGCAACCTACCTAGATATTAAGTGGGACTGGGCAAAACATTTACACTCACACCTGGCCCCTGTGTTAAGGTTTCCAGTTATGATTACCACTGCTGCTTCTGCTGCTGTGATTTCTAAAGGGGAAAATGCAGCCTGTTTTTATCAGCCAACTGCCCCCCCCCCCACCGGAGGGAGCCTACAGGGACCAAAGAAGGACAGACATGGACTAGACATGGGACATTGCACAGGCTAGCACATGAGGGACAGGTGAGCTCCAGGGAAGAACAGGGCCAAGTCACATCATGTGGAGCTAGGCATGAGATGCAGGGACATCTTTCAGGTCCCTCTGGTGTGAGCCAAAGCTTTCTTCTGACACAGAGAGGAGCAGACAGGAGAGGCACTTCAGTTTCATGGACCCTTCCCAGAGTGCTGAGGGGCCTGGACTGTGTTGAACGTTAACTTCTTTTCAACAGAACAGAATCAGCCACGTGAGACTGGATTTTTGAAAAGGACTATAAATAAAGTTGAATGTTCTAAGGTCAACTATTCATGTCAGCTTGGAATTCTGTCTCCTAAATTAACCAATTTAGAATCTGAAAACAAGGCACATATCATAATATGATCATTTAAATTTTAAGTAGTAGTAATCTCTTAGCCTCTAAAATTTTAATACAAATCTTATGTTTTTTAAATGTCAGTATACAATTGAATTCCCTTTATATACCTACTTGAAAGTAATTTTTTAAAAATGAAAAGAAAATGCCAATATGAGGTCACTAACTCCCATTTCTCCTGTTAAAATTATGTTCGTTTTTTTTTTGGTAGGACAAGGGGCAGTATTGGAGTTGAACTCAAGACTTCGTGCTTGCTAGGCAGGGGCTCTACTGTTTGAGGCCATACCTCTCCAGTCCCTTTTGCTTGGGTTAGCTTGAGATAGGATCTCAATTTTTGCCTGGGCTGCCCTAGTTCTCAATCATCCTATTTATGCTTCCGGTCATAGATGGGATGACAGTCGTATATCTCTGTGCCTAGCCTTTCTGTTGAAATGGGATCTGGGGAACTCTTTCCCTGGAAAAACTATTTTTTTTGCTGGTCTGGAACTGCAATTCTCCGTATCACAGCTTCCCATGCAGCTAGGATGACAGGCATGAGCTACTAATGCTTGTCTACATTCTATTTTTTATGTTAACATTTTCTTTCTTTTCAGAAATAAATAAAATCATATCTCTAGGTAATGTTTAGGTTTCTATTTCCTTCCTCAGTAAAATGAAATAAGACAATAAATTGATCCCACCACCTAAAAAAAAAGAAAACATTATGGAGACCAAACTGTGTTACCTTTCTAATCTAGAGAGGAAGGCTAGGAGGTAAAGGTTGCTCCAGGACATCCTGCCAGTAAGAAAAAAGCTGAATTCCAGCCTCTGTCTTTTGGCTCCCAGTTGCCTCTGCATCTACCCAAAAGTTTCTTTTCTCCCAAGAAATAAGGAATTCACAAGCAAGTGCTTGGTGCAGCACCAGATAAAGCTTTCTGTTGTTGTTGGGGGAGATCTCTACATTGCCCCCTGGTGGTAGGAGGACTCTAAATAGAATCTAGACCCACCCCTCAGCAATCAAATCACTTTTTGGACTTCAGGATTTATACCTGCATCATGAGAAGAGGGGTGTGACACCCTGCTCCAAGCTCCCACCAAGAAGCCAGAGGGGTTCAAAGTGTGGGTTCTGGAGTCAGCCCTGTTTTCAGTTACCTCCATTATGCCCTCATCCATAAAATAGGAGCAACAACCAGCCCACCCTAGAGGTTAGCAAGGAGAAGAACAATGGAAGGGGGAGCGAGCGTGGGCCACAGCTGCATTATTTGTGCTGTTGGCTGCCTTACCACCAGATTTCCTGCCCTTGGCCTAGGCGCTGTCCTCTGTGATCCATCCCCGCAAAATCCCTTCATTCATTTGCTTCCCTCTGACCTCAAATATGCCAGGGCTGCTCCTTGTGCAGGCCTTTAGCCTTTGACTTTGCTATTCTATTTACCTAAAGTTCTCTATCCTCTTCTCTCTTCTTGGCCTTTGTTCAAATATCACATTTGAACAAAGAATAAGAAATACTCAATGCCCTATTTTTTTAATTGCAGAAAGTCCAGGCACATCCCACCCACCGCCAACCCATTTTTCCAGTCCATTTGTCCCCATAGCAAAAATCATCCTCTGACACACAATAATTTCCCTCATCCATTATGGTTAATCTTCCTCTAAGACAATTCAAGTTTCATGAGCATGAGAACTATGTAATTCTTTTGTTGATTCCTGCATTCCCGGGGCCTAGCATAGTGTCTGGAATATAGTAGGGGCTCAATAAATACTGGCCGAATGATTAAATGAATGACTTCCACCTAGAGGGCACAGGCTAAGCAGGTCATTGTTTGGGACAAGGCTAATCCAGAAAGCCATGGGATAAGCAGAGATTTGCACTCAGGTGTGCCTAGTTTGTGTTCCCTAAGATCCCCTCCCTACCTCGCTCTGCAGAGCATGGGCTTTCTTGGCCCAAGCCATCTTCAGGTCCTCAGGTAGCGATGTGAATTCATGGTACTGTGTCCGGTAGTCGTGATCACTGGCCAGAGCCTGGGCCTTCCTAGCGTGGACCAGGTGCAGCATGTCCCTGGGCAGGTGGCACTGGGATTGGCTGCTGGCTGCCTCCCTCCGGTAGTGATGGTCACTTTGTAGCTGGCCCATCCTCTGGCAGTGCTGAAGCCGAGGGTCATCACTTACACTCCGGACCCCAAGGAGCCTCCCTCGTTCCTTCACAAAGTCATGTCTGTAGAGAAACTAGAAGCATGGAGCGGGCTAGTCAGGGTCGTGCACACAACTGACTTAACTTCCATCTATACCCTGTCATCAAAGACCCCCAGAAAAATGACCTCTTCTTGTTCTGGGAGGTGATATTCTAAGAACCACCACAGTGCCGAAGAGAGTACCTTCCTCTCCCAGGGGAACTCAACAGTTAAAACGTTGTTCTTCTCATCACATTAAAATGAGATGCTAGAATCCAGAGTGAGGAGCTCCACTCCCCTTATGGATACTGTGGCCAATAGGAATTTATCAAACAAACAAAAAAACGCAAGAGTGAAATTTGTGTTTTATGCATTCCCTCTTGGCAAAATATTACACCCAAAAGACAGGATCTATTTATTTGAAGTCCACCTTTTCTGTGAATTGTTTGTGGGAAAGAGAAAGTCACCTTCATGTCCCAGAGCTGTGATGCAGGAGTCGCAGCTGGCAAACAAGCACCAAAGGGAACCACCTAGCGCCCTGCGGGGTGCACAGTACAGCCACCTGCCTGGCAATTCCTCTATAGCTTCTTCTCTTTCTCATTCTTTCTCATCCAAAGCAGACGGTCCACACACATTACGGAGACCGCTGCCTAGACTTTGCAGTTAGAAATAAACCTCCAGCACCAGCGCCTGTGTGCCCAGAGCCCTTTGCTTGAATTTAGCTTGTGATTAGCATTGCCTTTCTTTCCCTCCTTCCATCAAAGGACCTCATTCAGAGCTAATATATTCTGCAGGTGACATCTTGTCTCACATGGTTAGAGATTTGCTTTAATTCAGGCAAATCAACCGTAGACATTGTTTTACATGAAGTTAACAGAAATTAGGCAGGATGGAAGGTCACAGCATTCTGCTCACATCGCTGGCGATGTCTCCAGAGGCTCTCGCAGCCTGGAAGGGGAGAGCATCGGCTGTCAGCTTGTAGCCTTGAGCACGGAGATTACGCCAGGCCTCCTTGTATTTTGCCTAAAGTGGGAACACATGTACATCTTTAAAAAAAAGAGAAACACACGAATCAGCGAACAAAGGCCGCTTCTTTCATTTGTAGAGTACTGTTCCAGAATTGATTTCTGAGACTCGCAAATGCTTTCTATTTGGCAGAGAAAATCTTATTAGCACACACCCCGTGGTAGGCCTTGAGCACACGTGTGGATGGAACACACTAGTGAAAGGGTGGTTTGAATGTGGGTGTCTAGAGCATGTGTTTAAAAAAGCGCCTGTAAAATGTTATGGTTAGACCGCTTCGCACACACCAACACATGTGGCTCATGCGTGAACTTCCACAAGAAGAAATGCTTACGTCACTCAGATTGGCTGCATTGGTTTTTGCTCGGATAAACTCAGGCAGACCCACGGTCACTGTGTACTGGTGTCGAGCATCCTCTCCGGCCGCTTTGTAGAGACGCTGCATCCCAAAACAAATAAACAACAACATGAGACAAATGCTGTGCATATCTGCAGCACCAGAAGACCCCACTGACAACCAAAACGTTATCTGCTGGGTCCCAGAAATACCCTCAGACATAAGGAAGGTAATACTGCTTTCAAGAAAAGCAATCTTCAGTAGTCACATTGAATAAAATAAAAGAGATACAAGGAACTGCAATTTGATGGGCTAAATAATGTGCTGAGAGGGCTGGGAATATGGCTTAGTGGTAGAGTGCTTGCCTAGGTTCGATTCCTCAGTACCACATACACAGAAAAAGCCGAAAGTGGCACTGTGGCTCAAGTGGCAGAGTGCTAGCCTTGAGCCAAAGAAGCTCAGGGACAGTGCCCAGGCCCAGAGTTCAAGCCCTGGAACTGGCAAAAAAAAAAAAAAAAAAAAAAAAAGGCTGAGAAACTACAAATAAATTCAACTGTTGGTGGCCTTTTATTTGACAGCACAGCACAAGGCATTAAGCTCTGGAAAATGTAGGAGATCCCCTGTCTGACGGAAGAAGCACCAGCCAGCAGATCCCCTGTCTGACGGAAGAAGCACCAGCCAGCACTGGCCAGTATCCTCCTCTAACTTCCCTGAGTGCTTTCCTCAGGGTAGTCAGCCAGGACCCCTGGGGCTCTGCTACCAAAGCACCAGTCCTCACAGTGAGGTACAAGGCTATGATTGGTGGCTTCTCTACAAAGCCAGAGGCCATCTCAAAGGGCTGGTCACTCTGCAGCACTCAGGACACAAAGGAAGAAAGAAAGGTTAAATAACCACTGTACATTGGTAACAGTTTTGTCTAAGGCCATGAATCCCATCTCTTTGGACTTCTTTCAGTTGCCATTTCTAACTTTTGGATGTAGGTAATGTGGAAACCAGAAGTATAAATGGGCAAATCGCCTCCTAACTTCTAAAAGTTGGAGATGCCAGGTGCTGGTAGGTCAAACTTGCAATCCTAGCTATGTGGAAAGCTGAGATCTGATGATCACAGTTCAAAGCTAGCCCAGGCAGAAAAGTCCCATGAAACTCAGCCAATGAAGCAGCAAAATGCCAGGAGTGGAGTTGTGCTTCACGGGTTAGGGTGCCAGCTTTGAGTGAATAAAGCTTAAGGGACAGGCCCTGATTTCAAGCCCTAGTAATGGCACAAAAACAAACACAACAAAGCCACCACCACCACAAAAAAAAAGAAAGAAAAGTATGTATTTACATCGCCTCAGGCTCACCTATTTCAAGATCATATGTGGCTTTCTAAGGAGGAGTAGAAGCAATGGGGAGACAAAGATGGTATCACAGTATGAGACACTTCCCTGCATCTTACCTTTTCCAGGGACCAGGGACAGGAAAACATGAATCTGATAAACAGTGAGTGACAGGAGGAGGCCAAGAAGCCAAACTCCATACTTAGAACTGGTCACAAGCCTTCCCTCTAATAACCATTGGCACATCAATATCAACTCTTAGCCAATGTTTGCCTACAGTTAATGAATTATAAACCAGCTCACCTCAGATTTAATATGGGAAAGAATTATCTGAAAGCCTTGTTAAATGATCCATTGGATTCAGTCATTCTAGGACAAGTTGGGGGTAGGGGAACAGGCATTTCCATGATGCTTCCAGGGGGTGCTAACATGGCTGCCTGTGTTAGAGATACCAACCAGTCTGCAGATGAAATCTGATTTCCACCAAGCTTCCTTTCTCTCTGCAAGATATGTAGGTTCTATGCCATAATGTTTCTTTCCTTCCAAACTTCTATACAAATGCTCAAACTCTTTTCTTCCCCCATTCACAGCCCACAAACATTCATGTGTTTAACCATCCAGCAGTGTGTTAAAAGCCACCAGAGGATTTCTTTTACCTCATTGGTAATCTGGCTGCTGAACTTGGCATGCAGGAGGTTGGGAGTGTCTGTCACCGCTGTGTACTTGAATGATCCAGGATGCTGACGGTAGTTTCTCTGAATTCACACACAAGAAAGGAAGAAGATGGCTCCATCAGGAGCAAGACCAGAAAGGAACTGATCCTTTTCGTATGAGTTAATGCCTCTTTCCACATGGGCTGCCCGTCTGTCCCTCTAGAATCCAATGGCCCTGCTCTGGTCCTCAGAACTCATTGGGGTAGAGTTGGAGAGGGGTGGACACAATGCAGGCTGGATTAGATGCTTGGCCCCGGGAGGGGGAGCTGGTGCTGTGCCATGGGAGTGGATGTGAATACTCAGGGTTGCAGATTGCTCCCGAGTGGAGAGCGAGGTGTTTTTTTTTTTTTTTTTTTTTTGCCGGTCATGGGGCCTGAACTCTGGGTCTGGGCACTGTCCCTCAGCTCTTCAGCTCAAGGCTAGTGCTCTACCACTGGAGCCACAGCGCCACTTCCGGCTTTTTCTGTTTATGTGGTGCTGAGGAATCGAACCCAGGACCTCATGCTTGCAAGGCATGCACTCTACCGCTGAGCTACCTTCCCAGCCCCGCGAGGTGTTTTTAAGAGCACACACCAACGACTATACAACTTCATGGAACACATGCATGTGCCCTGCCCGAGAGGCCAGGACTCAGAACCACCAGGACGCTCCAGGTCTCTATGTTGTTTTAGTTTTTAAAAGCTCCAAACAGGGTTCTGATATGCATCATACTTTCAGAAAGCCTTGCTGCAGAGACAACACTAACAAAGCAGAGCAGGGGTGGAAACTAAGAACACACAGCAAACACCTGCCCACCTGGGCTCACAGGCTACCAGCTTGGGTTCACAGGCTGCCATCTTTTACGCCCTGTGTTCCTGTTACAGCCCCTGTCCCTGTAGCTGCCAGGCACAGCAGCCCTCTTCCCACCCCCCAGGAGGTCAGAAGAATGCTCAGAATTTTGAGACTTATGTATTTTTATGCCTCTCCCCCTCAAAAAAGAAAATCACAAAGTGTATTTATTGTAATGATTTCAAACACAGCTGTCAAAGAAGCACTGGACTTAGGCTAATGCTAACCCTTATAAAACCGAAATAGGGGTGCTTGGAATATCCTCAATTTGACTTGCTAAGAAGCCAAGGCCCAGAGAGGGCAGATCACGGGCCTGAGGTTACACAGCAAATGAGCTCTGGCCTGGAATTTCAATTTCTGATGGTTTCCAAAGCTGTCTGCTTGGCATTGTGCCACAGGGCCTCTCTTCAAATGGACATAAGGAAGGCATATCTTATCAGTGGTGAAGAATTCTTCTATGTTGATAGAGGAAACAACTGTGACTATAATCCCCACCAAAAAGGTTTGTGGTATGGGATTCTAACTAGGGGTTTTGTACTTGTTAGGCTGGTGCTCTACTGCTTGAGCCATACTTCCAGGCCTTTTTTGTTCTGAGATAAGATTTTGCTTTTTGCCCTGACCAACCCAGATGATGCTTTTAAGATTTATGCCTCCTCCAGTAGCAGCACTCCATTACGTACTCCTCTACAACCAACAGTTGGTGGCCCTGAACTACAGTCCTCTGGTCAGCCTTCCGGAGTAGCTAGGATTGCAGATGTGAGTCACCAACCAGTGCCTGACTCACAAAGGTGACTTAAATGGCATCCACTCTGAATTTGGAGAATCCAGTGTTTTTAAAAAAATCAAGGCACAACTTCACCTGCAACTGGTTTTAGCAGAAGAACACAGACCTGTGGTTTTGTAAGATCTGCTACCCCCGTCTCGTGCTCCAGGGACCCCTTACCTCACTGATGAGCTCTGAGGCTTTCTTTCTCCCTTCAATCTCTAATGTGCCAGGAACGACACAGGCAACTCCCCGCATAAAGTTCAGGTCTGAACGGTACAGATTCTATAAGGAGCAATACCAAGAATCAGAAATGCCAAACTCTTACAGCAAGTAAGTAAAGAGAAGCTGGAGGTCACAGAGCATCACCTGAGAGCATCATGACTCAGTGTCCCAGATATTCCATACTATACATACTATGTAGTAAATGTTCAGTAGGGAAAAAAATGTAGGTCCAAATAGTTCTGCCACGTCTTTCAGTGTAGCTGTCCTAGGAATGCTTAGACAGAGTTTTATTTTAATGTGGGCTATAAAACAATAAATACTGAAGCGGATTGTGGTTAGAAAGTCAGGTGTCTTGGGGAGGGAAATGTGCAAATGTTTTTAGCAGGTCTTCTAAAACAAAAACCAGCACAGCGGGTGCTATTAATTAATCATGGGTTAGGAAAAAAAGCTAATGCATGAATCCAAGTAATCTGGCAAAGACCTGTCTGGATCTGTGTGGATAGGTGTGAGCGCATGGGCCTGAATGATTTGAGCTGACACTTTAAAGAGTCCCCAAATTCAGTCCCCTCAGCCAGCAAGACACCCCCTGGGCATGCTGCCTTCCAATTGCCATCACAGAGCCAGACAGAGCAAATGAGAGCTCTGGGCAGGGGTTAATCGGGCCCCAATGAGTATGGCAGCTCCCTGGTTCCTACAGCTGCTCTCGGGTTCCTGACAGTTGATGTCACTCAGCAAATGCTGTACACACACAGAAAATTCCAGCTTACGGCACTGCTGAACTAGGAAGTTACCTGTGCTGTGTTCTACTTCCCTATACAAGCCCATTACTTGCACATGTCCTAGCGGGGTGGGTGGCATGGTAAGTACCAAACAGGATGCTGCTGCCTTTGGGAGAATGTGAGGAATTTTTCTGAGCATAAGGACTTCCTCCAATGCTTCTTGACTCAGAGGACAGCCACCAAAAGCTGGACACGCAGGCCGGAGGGCCTGAAGATACCTCCAAAGGACCCAGGGAGGAACTCTGGGACCTGATTTCCTAGGTTATCACCCTACCTGAGCTCTGCTCTCCCCAAAGTGGGTGACTTTGAGGTACAGGCTCTGAACAGCATCTCCATAGCCCTCCTGAGAAGAGGAGACAGGAACTCAGGAAGGACGTGCGACCCCCACCTAATCTGAAGCCAGAGGCAAAACCACCAGTGTGAACAACCATGAACCTGGAAAGCATCTTACGTGACATTCAAACCCAGCACCTGCATTTCTCACGGCCAGAAGTATGACCTTGAACAGGGTCCTCACCTTTGTCACCTACATGGTAATATCTCTGAATGGTGGCAATAAAGACTAACAATTTAGGGTTATTGTGGGATTCAAGTGAGATAAAGTATAGTAGATACACGAGGCTTGCAATTCTGCATAAACCCTCAGTCATTTTGCTATTGGATTTTTGCATATATTAGAGCTATATAGGCACTCTCCAGCTGAGTTCCAAGAGAAAATGCATGCTCTATGGAGGCTTCCCAGAGCCAACAGGAGCTTGTGGACCACTGCCCCATGGTCAAAGGCACACGAAAATGGGCCTTAAGGGAAAGGCCAGGCCTCCTTACCTCACTTTGCAACTTATGAGCTTTCTTGGCACAGCTTAGCCTCAGGTCTTCTGCCAAAGATGTATACTGGGGTAGTGGATGTCTGTAATCCTGGTCGCTGGCCAAGGCCTGAGCCTTCTTGGCATGCACCAGGGTTATCATGTCCAGCGGCAGATGGAAGTGTGCCTTGGAGTGTTCAAAGCCTTTCTTGTAGTTCACCTAGAGGGGAAGATGGATCAACAATGGCTATTTCAAAGCTACTATTTGCAACAGGACATTACGGGAGAGCAACTGTCATGCAATATTCCCAGGACAGACTGGGGGATGCTCCTGGCTAGGGCTAGTGCCTGGAAGGTAATGCTCCTTTCTTGTAGGAATTGGCCAAAGCAGCAGGACTGGACTCTCGCTCCTGACAATCACCTCTGCTCCACCCTCTCCCAGCTCTTGGAGGTCACTGGCCTAGCTAAAGAAGAGCTAGAGGAAAATAGAGACATCCGAGGGCTAGATACAACATCCAGACACAGCACCAGTGGTTTCTTTGCTTGTTTCTTTAATGCATCATTTTTCAGTGGAAACTCATTCTCTATCCAGTCTAGCTTTGGATTCTCCTCTTACTCTAGGTGAGGAAAAAAGTAGTCAAATAGGCCAAGTCCAAGTTAATCTGGGAGCAGAAGCAGGGAGTACGAATGGGGAGTCTGTGTGGAGCACCAGTCCTGAGAGATGCATAGTTTCAACTGCAAGAAGAGGATGCCCTTTCCAGGCTTCCAGCTCCACACAGCCCTTGGAGAATCTGCTTAGAGGTCTGTGACACCCACAGAGGACTCAGGAATAAGATGATGACCACTGCCTCTGCTCTACCTCCTCCATCCTGCCCTTCGCCCCCTTGGCGCTCCAGCCACTCCGTCCTAACCTCCCACTCCCATCTCTGTTAATCCTCCTCACTTCTAACACAAAGCTGTGACAATTCATGTCCAACCCCCCACTTAGAGGTTTGTTGCTCAGGACAGAAAGAGAAAAAAAACCCACAAAACATAAACTAAGCTGTTGGTGAGCATGTTCACCAACTGCCGCCTTTTAGAATCCAGGTGAACTTCTGGCAAGAAGTCTAGAATTTTTACGTACAATTTTTCACATGTAAATATCTGCAATGAATTCACTTGACAGACCAAACACAGTATCTCTGCAAGCCACATCTAGCCCACAATACTACCTCCACTGGTAACCACTAGTTTAAATCAAAGAATACCCAGAACCAACAACCTCCTTCAGCAGGACAGACAGCCTTCACTGGCTGAGCCACCAGCATTGTTAGGTGGGCCGCAGCGTTCCTGGGCCCTTTCTTCACACTTACATTGCTCTGTAGAGAGGTCGCGTGCACTGAATGTGCAAGGCTGAGATCATCCTCCAAGCTCCGGGAGCCGAGCATCTGTCCTTTCAATCTCTCAAATGCTTCTTTGTATTTGTACTAAAGGGAAAGAGAGCAGGAGAGACAGAGAGAGAGAGAGAGTAACAGCTCAGGGACAAGGCACGGGGAATGGAAGAGGTGGGTATTGGGTGAAAAATGTTTTGTTCTTTTTGACAGTAACTGGGTGAGTTAAAAGAAAACGCACGGGAGTTGTCAAAAAGGTCTATTCTTTCATATGCAAGACTCCCAATGACTAAAGGGCTCAGGCTTGAAATGGCAGGACGTATTAGCACTTGGGCGGCCCAGGCTGGAAGAAGGTGCACGTATTGTTAACTGTCTCTTCACACAGACTGGCTTTGTGAAAACTCGTGGTAGAGGGTACATTTCATCTGCCCGGGGGCCATGTTTATAGTCCAGCATCTGGCTTTGTACCCTAGGTTAGGGATTTTTGTTGTTGTTGTTGTCATAAGCTATGTTCTTTCTCACTGGTCATTATCTGATTGCCCCAACACAGTCAGTTCAGAGAGGAAAGGATATTATCCACAGGCAAAAGAAGGCAGAGGTTAGAGGCAACAGAACTGAAAACTGGTTTGGATTAAACGTGTGTCACAGTGTTGGAGGCTCACATCACTTATGATTTCCCCAGAAGCCTTTGCTGCCTGGAACGGAATGGCATCCAACCTCAGCTTATATCCACCGTCTCGAAGTTTGCTCCAGGATTCCTTATAACGAGTCTGACAGGAAGATGTGTACAAATCAAGACCTTCATATGACCTACTGTTTTCCTAATCGCTGTTCTGCCAAAATAGAAGCCTGGTTTGCTGTAGGTTTCTATCCCTTCCCTAACCCTTCCCAGCCCCTATTCCCAAACCCCAACTGTGGTTAGAGATCACTGTAGCTTAGAACAAATTATCTAAAAGTTGGCAAGCTAAGCCAAGAGAGGGAAGCTGTTAAAAGCAAAGTCTTTGGAGTCAGACACAGTCAAAGCTTTCTGAGCAACAAGCTGATTGGATCAAGGAGACATAAGGCTGCATTTGCATAGATTTTTGTGCAAGCTAAATGAAAGTTATGTCTCCATCAGAGGACAGGAGGAGATAGGAATAGATTATGGAAAGGAGAGGTCAGTCTCTTCCCCACCCCAGTATCTCCTTGGCATAGGCACTGGGAATACTCGGCTTTATTTCAGCCCTAGACCCATAATACTAAGATGGATGGCTTTCCAAGGCTCACTTTTTCCAATAAGCTTTACTCTTCAGCTACGTCATTGGCAGGGCCCAATGAAAATGATAGTGTAAGTCTCCTTATTCAAAACAATCTCACATTTGTACATGGCAACAGCCGAGCAGTTACCCAATTGATAGATCTGTTGAGCACAAAGCACCCATGAAGGTATGCCTGACCTCCGGTCATGGATACCAGTATCCAACCAGCCTCACCTCACTGATGTTCATGGCATTCAGCTTGGCCAGCAAAACCTCAGGCAGGTCAGCAGTCTGTGTGTAATGATGCTTTATGTTTTCTCCCTGTTCCCTGTAAAGCCTCTGTGGGTGGAGAGAGTTTTGCATTAGCCCCAAAGTCTTTCCCATGCACAACAGAGATGAAGGGGCTCTAGATGTAATGTAATTGTAGATATGATCGCTGCACCCTGCATCCACCCAGACTTCCTAGCCCAGTGACGTGCACATCATTCTCTTCCCAGCTCGATTTTCCAGCTCAGAATAGGGCAGGATGGAACATTCCTCCCTTAACACTCCACGCCTGTTTTGTTCTCTTTTTTTTTCTTTTCTATTCTTTTTTTATTGTGAAAATACTGTACAGAGGGGTTACAATTACATGGGCAAGATAATGAGTACATTTCTTATCAAGCATTGTAGCCTCCTCCTTTGTTTCCCCTTCCCATCCCGCCTGTTTTGCTCTGAGACAAGCGTCAGAGGAGGAATCAAGGCCTACATCCCATGGTGTCGTGTGATTATTAGCTACAAGCTGTGGGAGGTCAGTGGGCTGCAGAGGGCACACAAAGAGATGGCTCCTGGAAGTGAGATCCCTTAGTGTCCACCTCCATCCTCATTCCTTCCCCCTTCCCCACGGTTCTTGCCTTATCAATGTCTCTAGGTAGAACTCTTTACCTAGAACTCTGGTTTGGCGCTTCTAATATCCTAGTCATTTTCAATGACACATGGAGTTGATATTAGTCACCAAAATGAAGTTTCTCAACCTAGCTTTTCCATCCCAAATCTTATCAGATGTGTCCAAGTTTCTACGTATCACAGCAGTGCCCCCTAGAGTTGACTAAAGGTAAAGGACAAAACAAATATTGTTTTCCTGCCAAGAAATTCTTGTGTGACCATCTATATTTCTCAGAATTCAATTTGATTCTGTTGCACTGATTAATTACAAAATCATACATTCTTATATCATATGCTTGTGAATCTTCACATAGAATATTCTGACAGGCCTTTTTGGAACGTCCATGGCATAAAGCACAGCCGACAGAATTTGCTGGAAGTCAAGGAAGGAATTTTGAAATCCTCATCCTAAGGTTTGTAACTTTTTCTTTTTGGTAACCTGAATGGCCTGGATATTAATAATAATAGTTATTATTATTATAAATATTATTATTATCTTGAAGTAGATGTACAAAGAGGATTCAATTTAAGATTTGGTTTGAAAATGCTTAAAACCACATCTGCCTTACAGGAAGATCCATGGACTGCTCTCAGCACAGTCAGCCGAACAGAGCTAACCCATGTTCTCAAATGAATTTTTATACGTGAGCACTGGTCTATTCAGTCTCTATAAAATTCAGTGCTGGAAGGTCCAAGGGTCAAATCTTGGTTCCCTGTATTCCACAGAATATAGGAAATGGCTAGCAAGTCACAATAATGTCTACAGATCAACTCATTTTCAAACCTTTCTATCCTTGGTTCCCATTTCCCATCTCCCCTGCACACACCCCCAGCTAGACTCCAAAGCATGGCATCAGTATTCCAATTAGCAAGATTCTTCCCAAAGTTCCAGTTCTGAATACAACCCTTTCAAACAAAAGGTAGAAGGGGAAAAAGGCCTGGCTACAGACAAATCCATGAGACATGCAAATGGAAAGAAGAAGAGCATCATGGGGCAGTGGGGTGCGGAGCCCCACTTGGCATCCTAAGTGCAGGAACGCCCCATTTGCATCCTAATGAGGCAGCATCCCTGCTAAGGGGAGCCTCATAAAGGATGAGGAGCCCCTTCATCCTCAGGACGACAGAAGGAGCAAGCCCAAGAACCCCTCCGCTTCAATCGCGCTGTTGAAAGAAGAGCCACTCTTAGAGTCATAATGTATATACATTATCACTCACGTCCACTGCTTGGGTATAACTAATTCTGGCCTGGACCATCTCCGGAGTGTCTTTAATACTGGTAAACTTCAAAGCATCTGGATGCTGACGGTACTTCTTCTGTTGAGCAGGGAAAGATCAAAGCTGTGAATTTTGTGCTGCTCTTTCATGCCATTTGAAAGAGAAAATCATAGGTTGCTTGAGATTAGAGTGAATTTGTGAACATAATAATTATTCTGCTTCCTCCATCTTTATATCCTAGGTGCCTTCAGGTTAATATTTGTTTCAATTTAAGAATAACCTTATGTCAATTAACATTAAAGTATTTCTACCTGGTGCAAAGACAACATCTCAAAATTAGGTAAAATACTGTAGGATCACACTTAGGAGAGGATTCTTTTTTATAGGCTTCCAATGCTGCGGCACAGTTGTTTACATATCTTAGTTTGGCTCTTCTAAGCAAGAAAGCACATTCATAGTTACATTTGTCCATTGAAGCTCTCTATTTTCCTTCCACAAAAGGATGTGGTAGATTTTTATCACAGTCAAAACCATTGTATTTAACATTCAGAGAGTGTACACTGGCCACCCACTCCAGAGCCTAGTTCAGTTAGCATATATGTACTAATTCTTGAAAATAACAAGAAAAAGGACACTGTTATTGCAAGGAGTCATTCTAGAGGTTGGCAGACAAGAAAACAAACAAAAATCTATGAAATAATAAATATTGACAAAGATCTTAATATTCTATTTTTCAGAGATCTGAAAATCATGCTTAAATTAATTCCCTTTGTGTATGTGGGCAATAGGGCTTGAATTCAAGGCCTGGGCACTGTCCCTTGGCTTTGTCATTCAAGACTGGCACTCTACCACATGAGTCATACCTCCACTTCCACTTCCAGCTTTTTGGTGATTAATTGGAGACAAGAATCTTATCAAATTTCCTGCCCCAGCTGGCGTTGAACCTTGATCCTCAGATCTCAGCCTCCTGAGTAGCTAGGATTTATAGGCACAAGCCACCCAGCTAATAAATTCCCCTTTTAAATCATAAGGCATTTCCAGGGAACCAAAATGATAATTGCCTTAATGAAACTGTGGAGTTTATGTTTTCCCAAATCAAGCAATTATTTTATGACATTCACTTATTTATCTAGTTGGATTTTTGTGCACTATATTAGGTTAGATGCATCTTCGAGGTAGCCAAATTAGAACACAGCCATACTTGTTTGATTTACTATTGTCTGTAATCATTTTCTAGCTAATTATAACAGAGACAATATAACCTTCAGGACTGAAAATACCCACTGCTTTGTCCTTTACATGGTAGGTGTGATGGCTTCTGCTTCACAATGTGTGTGTGAGTGTGTACACACATGCATGTACACACACACGTGTGCCTACATGCTTTTGTGGGTCTTTCACATACCTAATATGTACTCTGAAGTGCAAAAAGTCAGCTCACTTTGACACTACCCTAGAAATATGTCAGTCTACAATGAGATTGTTGGACAAAATGCTAAAAGATACCTTCCTTTATTCACTAAAATTTGAGGACTGGCCTGAGACAAGAAGATCAAGAAAGATAAGCAAATTTCTTGAGCAGGATTGTACAACAGATTTGCAAATTAAAACCACTGTGGGGTACATGGTCCCCAAAGATCTCTTGGCTGTCAAGACTTTAGCATACAGAGGGGATAAGTTTGAAGGCTGGATGATGTATAGAACACTATTATTATTCATTGTTATTCTTCATTTCCCATATTGAGGGCTTGAATCCTCTGCCTTAAATGCGTGTTCCCATAAGTTTTTCATATTCATCCTCTGAAGACGACCTTTCCTTTATTTAGACTAAACAACTTAGGGCAGTACTGTCTTCACAGAGTTCCCTGGGATCTCTGAGGTAAGAGTGTTAACTAACTTGTCTGAATATTAGGCCAATCAGAGTGAGAACACTTTGTGATCAGCTCTGCCCTGTGTCAGGTGACTAGAAAGCTGTTCAATCAGAAAATAACAGTACGGAGAAGTTATGTTTGGAAAAAAGAAAAAATCACAACACAGATGTCATTCTTTTTTGATGATTATTCAGTAAGAAAATCTCCTAGACAAAGCTCCCATCGCCAAAGCTGAAGTCTTCGGGAGCAATGACCATTAAGGAATCCTCTCTGTCCAGGAAAATCCAGAAAGATCAGGCTACTATGAAGACAAATGCTCACTTGCTTTCTGAGCCACGTCCCTCCCCAAACAGACATGATGAGAAGTAGCTTTGAGTGGTTTGACTTGTTGACCTCTGTGTGAGCATGAGTCAGTGAGAGTTTTCTGGGGTGCCCAACCCAGCTGCAATTCTGCCCTCTAGAGGACATTTGTCAATCTGTGACCTTTTTGCTTATCACAAGTGGGGCCTGGTAGCATCTCCAGGTCAGGAATGCTGCTAAACATCCTAGGAGACACAGGATAGCCTCTCACAACAAGAGTGCACAGAATGCCAATAGTAGAAGGACTAGGAAAACCCTCACACCATTTAAAAAAAAAAAAAAAAGGCTGCTCAGTGAAACTGAACTAAACTGAACATACAAGCAGTATGTTCTCAGATATGGCCAGGGTGGTTTTCAGTTCACAGGAGTGGGATTTAAATACAGTAAAAGTGATAGCTGGATGTTGGTGGCTCACACCTATAATCCTAGCTATCCTGGAAGCAGAGGTCTAAGGATTGAAGTTCGAAGCCAGCCAGAACAGAAAAGTCCATGAGACTCACCTCCAATTAACCAGCAAAAAGGCAGAAGTGGAAATGTGACTCAAATAGTAGAGTGCCAGCCCTGAGTGAAAAAGCTAAGCCAGAGTGACAGCACTGAAGTTCAATCAATCAATAAGAAATGCGACGAGTTTTGCACAAGAGAAAACCAACTACATAACCATGTTAGTGAATATTCAAAAACTGTTTACACTTTTGCAGAAAGAGAGGAAGAAAATGTGCATAAAGGTGTAGACGGGCTTTCTGGCTACAATAAATGTATCTTTTCATCATCTCTCCAGTGCCGCTTCATTAAAAAGGTAAGTTGGTGGGTAGCAATTGAGCTCCGTTTGATTGTCATTATTATTCATAATATCATTTGTCACCCACTTTGTTTTTGCCAGGGTTCTATGGGCCCCTACTGGTGTGTGTTTGGTATGTGGTTTCTCTCTAATTACAGCCTGAGTCTGAGTTTTCAGGCCTTTCATGTGGCTTCTCCTTTTGAGTGGAAATTATTTTAATTCTGTACAGCAAACGCCACACACCTAATGCAGCCAGGCCTGTTACACACTGTCAGGAAATCTCACCTCGCTAATGAGCTCTCCTGCCTTCTTCGCCTGCTCCACATTTAATGACCCGGTGGCGACCCAGCCCAGGCCTTTCATCCACTTCATGTCTGCCTTGTATTGGTTCTGACAAAGGAGAAGGAAAGAAAAAAAAATAAAAAGACAGGCCATTGTTGCTGCAGACATTTAGAGGGCTATTAACAGCTCCTGATGTTTCCCAGAGCTAGCTGAGTCAAATTAGATGCCACTCTGTCTTATCCATTTCTGCCCAGTCACAGGTAGGACCCTAAAACGTAAATGAATTTCCCTTTTAATTATACAGACCTGCCTTTGGATAGTGGCTTTGCTTTAGGCCCCACCCAATACCTCTGGGGGGCAGAAGGGGAGGGGCTAAGTCACCCTTGGCCCTCATTAGGGACTCCGGTCTACCTCCCTAGGAAGCGAGTCCTCATTGTCTGTACTACCAATTTTCTTGTTTAAAAATGACATGCAGGAGAGAAGAAAATGAGAAATCCTAACGGAATCTGGAGCTACTGGAAAGAATTTCACAAGACATCCGAGACTTCCCACAGTGCCTGTTCCTTCTTCTGAGATGCGGGAAGTAAGAAGAGGATATTTCTCATTTCTTTACTGGCTACTGAATGAGTAGTTTTAATGGAAAGTTATTTAAATGGGTATTTCTAAAAAAATAGCACATCAACTGTTTATCATGAAGCAGCGCCACCAGGAAGGGATACATGCACATGTGTGCACACACATACGTGCATGCACACACCCACACACAGACACACATGCAATAGTCCGGCAGGTGCTGACCTCCCCTTTCCACTCATCTACCTTCTGGAACAAAAGTTAAATAGGAAAGAATGAAGAATCAGGTGGAGGATAGACAGTGGAAGGAGAAGGGATGCTGTTGATAATTGGCAAGCTGCTCCTTCCAAGAATGGAAACTGCTAGAGTTGAAACAAGTTATCCGTGATGCTCACCCACAGCTGACCACTGTGAAAAACGTCACACATACAACATTCCCTTGGTGACTAAAACAAGAAACCTGGGACACATCTGTAGTTCAGAATTCCAAGAAGGAAAAGGAACTCTATGATTTTTCTCTTGGTTAGTACAGAACTTAAAATGGACATGGTTTGAATAAGGAAGCTAAAATGTCTCCACTCTGGGAATCAGAAATAGGTATCCCATTAAGATAAACTGGAAGGGTGTGTATGTACCTTGGCACACACCTGGACAAAGGTGCACCCAGGTGGACACAGGTGCACACAGGGACGCACACAGACGAACACGGATCACTTACGTCGCTCTGCAAGCCATATGCCTTCTTAGCCCACTCCACTTTCATGTCTGTGGGCAAAGCTGTAAAGTGATGGGATGTCGTCCTGTAGCCTATGTCTGTGGCTAAGTGCTGAGCTTGGCGGGCATGTGTGAGGTGGACCATGTCCAGGGAGACGTGGCACTGGGATTTGGCGTCCTCGAAGCCCTTTTTGTACTCCAGTTCACTCTGCAGCTTGGACATTTGCAGTGAGTGGCTCATTTGCGAATCATCCTGTGCACTCTTTGCTCCAATGAGTTTCCCTCTGGACCTCTCATAATCCTCCTTGTACTTTACCTAAGTAAGAAAAATAGACAACCACGCTCGAGAAGCTCCTGAGAAGAGCTGTTAAGCTCCAAGCTGCAGGTAGGAGTGTTAAACAACACCTTTTGTCACACACTTAGCAGAATGAGAGTCTGGACCACTGGCATACTTTTATCAAATGGTGAAATAAAATATCACTGTCCTATTAGCTCCCTTTTCAACTTGGCTTCTAGAAAGCTCTGAGCTTACCTGAAAGCTTAGCTATACAATCAGTCCTCTAGCATTTTGTTAGAGACTTTTTTCTCCTCTAATTATTTAATAATTTTTAAATGTTATTTAATAATGTAATATATATTTAAATGGCCTGTTTTCTGTGAAAGCTATCTTAGAATCATTTCGGATAATAGTGAGAACCTTATAAATAAAAAAAGTAGGGACTGGGAAGGTGGCTCAGTGGTAGAGCGCTTGCCTTGCATGCATGAGGCCCTGGGTTCGATTCCTCAGAAACACATAAGCAAAAAAAAAAAAAAAAGAAAAAAAAAGTAGCAATAAAATGAAAAAGACACAGAGCCAGGTGTTGATGGCTCATGCCTGCAATCCTAGCTCGTTGTCGGGGGAGTGGGATGTGAAGATCATGGTTTGAAGCTACCTTGGCTAGACAAATCTGAGATACTCTTATTTAACCAGCAAAATACCAGAAGTAGCATCATGGATCAAGCAACAGCATGCCAATCTTGTGTGATAAAGTCAAGTCTCTGTGTTCAAGCCCCAGTACTGGCACATGCACACACACACACACACACACACACACACACACACACACACACACACACACACACACACACACACACACACACACACACACACACACACACACACACACACACACACACACACACACACACACTATCCAAAATATAATTGCTGTTTAAGTAAGAAACTCAAGGGATATGGGGAACAAAACTGAGCCTAAAAATGATTTTAAAAATGCTAAACCAAGAGCAATGAGAGGCAGAAGAAAGAATAATGTGGGAAGGCTTTGAAAACTGAAACATGGTCCCACTATGTGACATCATTTTCAATCTTATCATTATTGTGGCCATCAACGGTTGGGGCTATACTTTTAAAGCTGCATGCATCCATTTTGATATCTTCCAGGCATGTGGCAGGCCTACACTGCTCACAGTGCATCCACAGACTAGTTTGTAAAATGTTCCCAGATGACTTTAAGATATGTCAGAATGTAAATCCACATCACTAAGCCCCTCCATCAAGTGACTTTTTAAAAGCAGGACTTTCTCAATGAAAGGAACAAAGCTGGCCCAGATCCTCATCAGACTTATGGTAGATTTCATTGGACTATAAAACACTTATAAACATCATTCCATTTCCTCATAACCATATGGCAATTACCAATTTATCAGCAAGGTACCTGAGATATTGAGAGATTAAACAATCTGCCCCAAATAACAACACTCATATGTGATAGAGCTAGAGTTTTATTGACCTTATCCTAGAGCCTGGGTTCTATGCCATGAATAGGCAACAGTATTTAAAAGAAAGTCATAGAATTCATAGGCATCATTTATCTGTGAAACAAGGACTGGGATGATTACTCTCACAACCGTATGTGGCAAGCAGCTCAACAGGCACTGCATGATTATCTCATTGTAAAGCCAATGTTGTCATCCCTGTTTTGAATATAAGGAGCCTGAGATGAAGAACTGGATCAGATAAAGTAGCAGGAATCCCATCTCTTGCCCACGTGGAGAACTGACTCACCTCACTGGCTAGGTCCCTCTTAGCTTTGGCTGTCAGGAAGGTTAAGGAGTCAAGACGCAGCTCAAACCCTTTTGCCTTCTGGCTTTCCCAGCTACTCTTGTATAGTTTCTAGAAGGGATTTAGGAAAGAAAAGATTATTTCCTGAGAGACTTTTGTTAGACTCTAGGTTGACCTTTCTAGAAAGGGAACAAGGACAATGTCCTTTCCTGGAGCCAAGAGCACTAGATTCAGGTAATTGAATACAACCAGGCCTTTAGATTCCAGTCTGTAGGCCTCTAGGCATATAGACTTCAATCAAAAGAAGCATAAATCAAAGTCCAAAAGCTTTGATGATACTAGGCATCTTTACAGAAGTCTCAAAGACTAGCCAAAGGCTGAACAACACAGTATTTGTGTAAAGTCTACTCTGTGTCTATCTACAACCTCCAACTGCAGGTGACTATACCCCTTTCTCTTTCCTGTCTCTCCAGCTACTTTGATCTTTCCTTATTCCTTTCATTCCCTTCTTGCTCCCACCTCCAAATTTCAAGATCTTTCCTCTGAAGGCCCCTCTTCCTTCCAACCTGTTTCTCCTTCTAGTGCCTACTTACCTAGTGCCAGACTAAAACCCCAAGACCTGGGAGCTGAGTGGAGAGTGCTGCAAAAATAGACCCCCTTACACAGGGAGGAAGATGGGGTCATGGGTGCTTTCACGGATACTTATGGATACTTTGATGTCCAACAGCCACCAGTGTGCCTGCTCCTCCAAGTGTGTCATGACTATTTGCTCAGAGCTGAATCCTAACAACTCAGTGAGGCGCTTATACAAGCTTCGTTTTCCTTATGGGAGCACTGTGGGTCAAACCAGATGGTTTGCAGCCACTGGTTGAGCTCTTACTCACTTTCTTCTGCTACTGCTCAGCTCTAACACACCTGGAGTAGCCACTCTAGCTGAAGTCTTCCCCTCTAAACAATGATCCCCAGTGTAAGCCCCTCTCACTAAAGTACTGAACAGGAAGCTCTCAGGGCGAGCTATTTTTAGACAGTTGGTACAGACTAGTGGCTGTTGGCTTGGGTGATGTGACCAAGTGAACATAGAGCATAGCAGAGCCCACAGCTGTCTCCTCCCCCTTGGGTACCTCACTGAGATGAGCAGCATTGGCTCGGGCCTGCAAGAAGAGAGGCTCATCCTTGCTGATGCTGTACTGATGGACAGATTGTTCGTTTCCTGCCTTGTAGGCTACCTGTTAGAAGAGAGCACTGGGTCAGGAACTAGAGGGTAGGAAGGCTGATGAGTTCATCATAACTCTGGGACTAGAGATCACTACATTAACAAAACAAGCCAGGCACAAAAAGACAAATACCACATGATCTCATTCATTTGTGGTAGCTTAAAACATTGGCCACACTGAAGTGGAAAGCAGAACTGAGGTCACTGGAGCTTAGAGGGGTGGAGATAGACACAGACACAGTGCATCTTGGATAATAAAGTACAACCAGAAGTAGTTCTAATGTTATCCAGTGCATCAGGCAACAGAATTGACCATGATTTATTAGATACTTCAAAAGAACTAAAGGGGATGTTAAGGGTGCCCAACACATAGAAATTATAATATGTGAAGAGACTGAAATATTAATTACCCCCAACTTAATCATTACCCACTGTATACATTTTAAAAATTGTAGTACTGTGCCCATAAATAAGCACAAATATTGTATGTCAATGAAAAACAACTCTAGGGAGGAGGGATGAGAGAAAGTGACAGAGGAAGTGGCTCTGAGGTAGAAAGAATACCCCTTTATATAACTAACTGATGTTAATAAAAACATGGGGAAAATATGCACCAATAGACATATACACACACATATATACATACATACATACATACCACACCAGACACCATAAACTACAGTGGACACAATTCAGGTTAGAGTCAAGCCCCAAAGCCCCCCTCAAATTTCTTTAGAAAGGAAAACTAGTGAGGGACCAGTCAGAATGCGGTAACAGGGTATTTGGTTGTTGTTGAAGTCTACTCTAAATAATACCCATGGAGCCATATTGCTCTGCCTCCTATATGTGAGCTCCAACGAACATGACCCACACATAGGCATAGACGAATGTTGTCCTCATCAAAGATAAGCGTCTACTGAATCCAGAATTGTAGAGTCTCTGGTGAGAGACAGAAGAAAGACAAAAAAAAAAAGGAACTAAGGAATACTGACAGCCAAAAGAGGAATAAGGCCATTCTTCCATCTGTCTCTAATAACTGGAGGGGGAAAATAGAGTGGATAGAGCAGGGAGGACTGGGTGTTCCAGTCCCAGAAACAGCCTGAGCGTATGAGGAAAGCTATTTAAAAGAAAGCTCTTTGGTTCCTGACTGCGTAGGCAGCACCTGCTGCTGTCTCGGGAGGCTCCCAGGCCCATGACACAGCACACTGGCAGCACAAGGGCAGCCCAGGACTCACCCCACTCTGCAGCTCCTGGCTCTTCTTGGCGTGCTCCATCTGGGAGCTATCAGCCACACTTGTGAACTTCAGCTCGTCAACCCTCTGCCGGTAGTTTTTCTGTTTCCAAAGTAAAGGGACCCCGTGGCATTAGGATAGGCTATTTTTCCCCACCACAAACATGCCCATACTCAGATGCTGTGTGTGTGGCCCAAGCAGCTCCCCAAAGGGAATAACCTTGTTGGTCCTATAGCTTAAACAGAATCACAGCCCCAAGTTAGCCTACCGGATTTTATTGCTTTTACTGTTCTAATGTCATCACATTTCACCATGTATAATGGAAAGCTCCCAGTTTATAAATCTAGGTTTGATATAGCAAAGTGGATTTGGACTTGAACTTGGACTTTACAATCATCAAGCCCATCACTCTCCAGCTTCAAGACATCGGGCAAGTCACTTGATGGGATTCACTCTTCTGCTTTCTCACTTTCCAGACCTCTAAGTTCTTAGTTTCCTTGTGTTCCCCATCTCACAACTGGTAAATTTTCAAAGGTGCTAATTCTCCCCCCCCCCCCCACCCTTCAGGCCTTTTTGTCTTTCTTGTTTCTCTTTTTTTTTCCACTAAAGTTGCCAAGTGAAGGGGAAAGATAAAAATAAAAGTAAGAAAGATAAGAATAAATTTGCCAGGACGGATGGCAAGTTGAAGCAATAGCTCCACATGGTGGAAGATCACGGCCTGGTGCCAGCAAAACTCCCTGTGCCGTCAGTAAGAGTATCCTAGTCCTAACTAAATCTCAAACAGTGATCAGGACATTGGGAACTCCCAAGTTCCTACTTTTAAGGAAACAAAAAAATTCTAGAGAAAATATTCTCCAGAAACTTTTAGTTCTCTTTCCTATTTTCTGTGTTGAATGGGAACACTTCACTATGAACTTTTATTTTATTTTTTATTTTTGGGTCCGATCGTGGGGCCTGAACTCTCAGCCTGGGCTCTGTCCCTCAGCTCTTCAACTCAAGGCTAGCACTCTACCACTTGAGCCACAACACCACTTCTGGCTTTTTTCTTTTTGCTTATGTGGTGATGAGGAATCAAACCCAGGGCCTCATGCATGCAAGGCAAGCGCTCTACCACTGAGCCACCTTCCCAGCCCATCACTACGAACTTTTAAAAAGTTACTTAGCCCTTTCATTGTTGGAAATTCCCAAGGATCTCAGAGTCTACAGCGATCAAATAAATTATAAGTACTTATAGAGGAGCCACAAATCCATTTGGGGATATAAGAAATGCAAGGGACATAAGATCTTCCTGTCCTCGAAGAGCTTAAAAATTATTAATCAGCACACGAAGTGAGACAGAAACTGACCCTGCTGGGGCTGGAGGATCAAGGGCCTATCTCCTCACCCAGCACCTACACTGCTGCTCCCCATCCAAGGCGGTCGCTCTTGTGCTCCACCCGGTTTCAGCTGGTCTCAAAGAAGTTAGATAATAGGAATTCCAAAGGATTCATCTTTACTTTCTACTTTACTTATATAATTCTAAATTTAAATATGTCTTTGTCTGGGAGAAGGTGAGTGCAGGGAAAAGAATAAATTATAAAACATGATCTGTGGATGCAATATTGTCCAGAGGCTGAGAGCTGAGGCAGTGGGTCACAAATAATAACGGATGCCAGCTCTACCAGTTACTTGAAAAGTCACTTAGGTCTCATTTTCCCCACGTGTAACACAGAACCATTTGAATGATCATCACAGTACCTATTCTCATAAGGAGAGTTGTGACCTATAAATAGCAACGCAAATTAACACACTCCCGGTAGGTAATCAATCAGCTCTCCACCATGAAGTAATTATCATGGGTTTCATAAATGGTGGCTACTTTATTATCATCATTTGCAAGACATATGCTGACTCAGCCTCCCTGGCCCTGAAGCAAAAATCTCCCTTGAAGATCACAAAGTTCCTGAAATAGTCACGTTTCCAAATGCAGTGTCCTTCACAAGTCCTGCTTGCTGCCAAAGTCAGATTTCCATTGCATAAAGCACTGCACAGGCTTAGAAATTCAGGGGCCCTGGGAGTATTCTATTTAACCTTGTCATTTTTCCTAGGAGAGGGTCAGGAAGGTGAAGTGTCTTGACCATAGTCTGCCGTGAGTTTAAGGCACATTTGATGACTGACAAGGAGTCACATACTACTCATACAACAAATCCAACACAGGTTGAAATGCTTGGGAAGGGTTTCAGATTCACAGTCAGGTATTTTTTCTTCAGATTTTGAAATATAAAATGAGATATCAGGAAGGGATCCAAGTCTTAATTCATTAACATTTCACATACTATATATATGTGGCCTCCAGGTAATTTTACATGATATTTTGGAGGGTATGAAGTGACATTTCATGGTGTAGCGTTTTCTACTCGTGACTTGATGGTACTCAAAAAGTTTTGCCTTTTGGAGCATTTCAGATTTTAGATTTTCAGACTAAGGATGTTCAGTCTATATGGTCTTTCTATATAAGATTATTCTTTGGATAAAACAGCTTCTTAAATGGCTAGGCTTCTTTAAAACATCTTCCCAGGAAGCTTAAGCTTGGAAAACTGGCTCAGTGTACATTAGAGGTACAAATACCACCCCTTGGTAATTCACACTCAAAACAAAGGCTCCTAGAATGGGAAAGGGCAATCATATGGAAAGGTCACTCTGCGACTCAGGGGCTCAGAACCCTGGAAGCCAGGGCCCTAAGTTCAGGTTACCTCGCTGACCAGCTGACCAGCCTTCTTGGCCTGTTGCAAGTTGAGACTCCCCTCAGTCAGCCACGCAACTCCCTTCATCCATGCCAGGTCAGCTTTGTACTGCAGCTACAAGAGAAACAGCACCAAGATCCTACCAGATATGTGGGTGCAGGGGGGTAAGGATTGATGGGAGGTTAAGAAATTTTTGATCCTGTATTAGTCTACCAGAGAACTGCTTCCTGATTTCTCCTGAGAAATAAAGCTGGGCCCATCTGGTACAGAGGACAATATGTTCTACCTTAGTGTTAAAACAACACAACCTGACAGACAAACATTGCTTTTTTTTAAACTAAGAACCCTCTTTGCCAACCTGTTAAGTTCATAGCATTTGCTTCCCCTTTGCCTATGCCTTGCCCTTTATCGGCACATCTTTCCTTTTACAATGGTTCTGAACCCTACCTTCATTCTCCAGTCTGCATTGTCTTGCCTCTGCCTCTACCTCCCCACCTGTCTTCACTGGGCCCAGCATCTCTCTACTTATTTCTAATCCTCTGAGTTATGTAATAGACTCATGCAAGGTCCAAAATCACTCAAGCATGTGTCTAATTGCAAGATGCATAGAAAAATCTGGCAGGGAATAAGGGATTACCTCACTCTGGAGCCCATAGGCTTTCTTAGCCCACTGAGTCTTCATATCTTCAGGCAGCACAGTGTATTCATGCAATTTCTTCCTATAGTCCAGGTCACTGGCAAGAGCTTGGGCCTTCTTAGCATGCCTGATATTCACCATATCCATGGGCAGGTGAAAGTGAGTCTTAATCTCTTCAAAGCCTTTCTTATATTCAACCTTGAATGCACCAAAATAAAGACCATTGGTTACACTTCTGCTCTTGAAGGAGAAACTGACAATGCTGGAAGATTCCCAGGCTCTGGGGAGGAACTGGCACTTGGGACAAGGTCCGGTCTGTCAGTTGTGGCCCAGGTCCTGGCTCTACAAGGCAGGATGACAGGGGGGCTGTGGTTCTCACACTGCCTAGTCTCTGGAAGGACTGTTGCTCACTAATGCTAACTCTTTTCTCTTGAAAGGGGAGGTCACAATCTGTGGTTCCTACAGAAGCTTCAAGAGGCAGAGGGGCAAAGATTGGGCTGCAGAGTCCAGCAAGCATGAGTTCCAACTTGATCTCTCCTTTACCAGCTGGGAAACCTCTGCATTGTGACTTTACTTCCTAGAGGGCCTATTTCCCAAGAAGGAACTGTTACAATGAATGAATAAAACAGTAGCAAAAATGTGTTTAGTATAAGGACTATACAAACACATAGCAAGTATGTGATACATACAAACCATCAGGATCACAGTGACGATGGTGATATTGGTGGTATTATGGTGGTGACAGTGGTAATGATGGCAGATCTTGGTGATGGTAATTATGATGATTGATAGATGGCGGTGGTGGTGATGATGATGTGGTGGTAGTGATGATGGCCATGATGGTGATGATGGTTATGATGGTGGTGATAATAGTGATGGTTGAAGTGATGGATAGGGGGTGATATTGGTGATAATAGTGGTGAGATAGTGGTGGTCCTGGTGGTTATTTTATGTTCTGGGAAAGCTAGTGTGTGACAATAGAAGGAGTGTGTTGTCAGGTAGAAGGAGTTCTGGAATGCAGCCCCTCTCCTACTATCACTGCCCACCACATGACCTCGAAAAAGACACCATCTATTAGCTCCCAGTTGCTTCAACTGCAAATATAAAATCTGAATTTATTTCTCTAAACAGAAGCTAAATTCTCAAGTGCCTCGTTATGCTTCACAATTATGTATTTCATAAAGCTTGTCCTGTCACACATTCAAAATGGCAACCCAGGTGCCAACTCCAATTATTCCAGTTTATTCCAATTAAACCATAGCTTCCCAGTGACTTTTCAGATAGTTACGTCCAACTGCACCATCAGAGCCGCATACATAGCATAAAGCAGGAACTAAGTACTCGTGTGTCCTTTGATCTGCTCTGCATTGTCAGGGAAGACTTGATAAAAAACTGATGTGTCCTTCTAGCCAGAACTCTCCTTCCCCAAAGGAGAGTTTCTTTTGGTAAATGGCATTCACCAAGGTTAATCTCTGGCTACTACAGTTGTTTATAAACAGTATCATTCTGATTGACAGGAACTTGGGATGCTCTGGTTGTTTTCTCAAATACTCTGAATAGCATGTGAGTGACCACAGGATTTATCTAGAACATTGTCACAATAAACAGGATGCATGTTACCTAATTCCTTACTGTGGGTTGAATATGATCAGTCTCCACCGAAACACATATTGAGCTGTAATTCCTTCATGCAGCAGAATTGGGAAATGGGGATTCGTGGGATGTTTTTGTGATTGGAGACAGAGTCCTTGCAAATCAATCAATCAATCAATGGTGGCTGTACAGGAGTGAAATGAGTCCTTGATCTCATGGAATTCGATTAGTTATCATGAGAACAGGTTATTATAAAGCAAAGCTACCTCTTTTGGATGCTCTCTGTCTGTCTCTGTCTCCCTGTCTGACTGTTGGTCTGTCTCTTCCCTGCATGCATGCACGTGCACTTGCTCTCTTCATGCTGGTACTGGTGCTCGAACTCAGGGTCTCACACTATGAGTTGGCTTTTTCGCTCATAGCTGGCACTCTACCAACTTGAACCACACCTCCCATTCCTGCTTTTTTGCTGGTTAATTGGGGATAAGAGTCTTACAGATTTGTCTGCCCAAGCTGGCTCTGGATGCTCAGATCTCAACCTCCTGAGTAGTTAGGATTATAGGCGTGAGCCAACAGTATCTGGTGTGGTGTTCTTTTGCAACCACCTAACTGCTCTTCCATTATGTTCCACCTCTTATAAAATGAGGCCCTAAGGAGATGTGGTTGCCTGATCTTGGAATATCCAGCCTCAGGAACTACACATCAACACTAATCAATCTCTATTTAGAAAGTACCCATCTCAATCATTCTGTGAAGACAACAGTAAATAGTTTAAGACAATCTTATCAGAGCTATGCCCCTCCAGGGAAGAACTTGTTCTTCACTGTTCATGTTAGCAGTCTAAGCACTTCACATGGAGTTTTGTCCATAGTAACAGCTCATCGTACAATGTGCCATAAATAAATGTGACCGAACACCTTTTACCCTAATCAGTTGATACTGTCATCCTTAGGGACATAGTCCTCATGTACTTTATAAGAATTGTATGGTTCATTACAGAAAGGAGATAAACTTCTTAGACAAGCCAAGGAAAAAAAAAAGGTGCAGATGAAAGTCAGTAAAAAAGAAACTGTCCCAAGTGGCAAAAGCCCAGGAACAACTTTTAAAGTGATACAACCACACGTGGAATGGCTGGGAGCTAGAAAGAGTTTACCTCGCTGCTCATCTTGGCCACCTGCAGAGAGTGCAGAAGCTTTGAGTCAGTTGTTCCCATGACTTTTCCTTTTGTCTTTTCATATTCTTCTCTGTATTTAATCTTGAGAGAAAGAAGAAAGTCTACAGTGAGTATGAGACCAACTTTTCTGTCTTAGGAGCCCTGGTTTAACAAATGCAAAGAGAACAATTCTGAAAGAAAAAAAACAGACCACAAAAACTTTACTGTCTTAGGAGCCCTAGTTTAACAAATGCAAAAAGAACAATTCTGAAAGAAAAAAATAGACCAAAAAAAACCCCTCCTAGCCTTTCACAAATCCAGAGGACAATTAAAGTATCATGGTGTTTACAATGTTAACAGTCATTATTTTTTTCAGCAGGACTACTGACATTTTATGGGAACTGTTCCTTCTACATTTCTGAGTTAATGAGACAAAACCTACATTGCTAGCAAGCTCCCCCGAGGCTTTGGCGGCCAACAGAGACATGGCATCCAGCTTCATCTCAAATCCTTTCTCCTTTGTCTTCTCCCAACCTTCTTTGTACTTAACCTGACAAACAGAAACACAGGTGAACAAGAATTGCTACCCATATTCCTGCTGAAAGTTGCAGAATTTTTTTCAAACTGATTTCTTCGATTATTTGCAAAGCCATCATCTTGGCTGTTATTACAAAAACAGTCATTGTGATCATTATCATAATTCATTGATTCCATAGATATATAGTCACTAGGAGCAGTGGTAATAGGCCAGGTCCAACAGAAGACCTGTGTTCTTCCTTATTCTCTTATTTTGGGTTGTAGTTAACTATTCACAAAAGGAATATTATATTATCATTCTCAGGGTTGCTCTGAGAGTAAGCAAAACCTAAACTAGTAAAGTGCCACAGAGATATAAAGTGTTGGTATTTGAAAGGTAGTAACTACTGTTTGTGGACTTCTCCTAAGTGCTTTCGACTCAAACTGCAGATCTTCAAATTAGGCCAGAGGCTCAGAGAAATTAAAGAGCTCACCTAGGGCCCCACAGGTAAAAAGTGGTCATCCTGCTGTGCACCAGTGGCTCATGCCTATAACTCTAGCTACTTAGGAGGCTGAGTTTTAAAGGACCACAATTCAAAGCCAGCTCAGGCAAAAAAAAGTTCATGAGACTCCATCTCCAAATTAACCAGCTCAAATCTGGGCTGGCAGCATTGCTTGAGTAGTTGAGCACCAGCTAGTGCTAAGGCTCTGAATTCACATCCCAGTGCTGGCAAAAAAAGTAAGTGATCATGCCAACAACTGTGAACCAAGTCTATCTGAGACCAAAGTCAATGTCACCAATTGTATCCCTACAAGAAATACTTCCTGGGGGAAGTATTATAAAAACTCTGTATCGTATAGTACCATATGTACCATAGCATATATTATATTTCATATCATCATATATCATATTACCTACCCTAGTATAGAACAGACTTTCTAAAAATAGTTTCTTTTTCTTCTCTCATACCACAGATCCCCTCTAGAATAAGAAACTTAATGACAGCTCCATAGTGGCATCAGAAAACTCTAATGATTAAGATTGTTCTTGAAACTTAAATTTCTTCTCCATAGCCACTAGGATGATGAAAATAATGGTAGTGACAACAGGTGGGTACATGTCCATACATATGGCCAAAATATGAGAATTAAATTGCTAGGCCCAATTCATCCCTATTGAACCACTATGTGTCATGATATGGGCAAATTTATATAGTAGAATGAGAGGCTTCAAGGAGCCACCTACTGGTTTACAAATGCAGACTTTTCACTTTAATATCAAACCATTACCTCCCACCACATCCTCTCCACATGGCTCACTCACCTCACTGAATAGTTCAGCATTGGTCTTGGCCTTTACCAGCTGAGGTACATCCTGTGGTAACGTGTAGTTCAGCTTATTTTTTTCATAGTCAGCACGGTAATTCACCTGTTGGATTTAAAATACTTCTGTAGGGCCAGGTGTCAGTGACTCCCATCTGTAATCCCAGCTACTCAGGAGGCCAAGCTCTAAGGACTGCGTTGTGAAGCCAGACAAATTCTCTAAGACTTGTATCTTCAACTACCCACTAAAAAGTTAGAAGTGGAGTGCTTGCTTCGGCAGCACGTATACTAAAATTGGAACAATACAGAGATTAGCACGGCCCCTGCGCAAGGATGACATAGAAATTCATGAAGCATTCCATATTTTTAAGATAGAGACACAAATATCTTTTTTCTTTCTTGCTATTGTTTCTAATGTATTTATAATGTACCATGTGATTTTTTTGTTTCATTGTATGTTCCTCCCCCACTGTATGACCCATTTTCACTATATTTGATGTCGGTGCCCTGCGTCTTGTATATACACTTCTCTAATTTGGGGAGGGGAAGGGAAAAAACAAAATGCTTAAATAAGGATACAGGTTGACCAATTTTAACAATGAGATGTACAAGACACTATGTTGAAAACGAACTTTACCACTTCGATGGGGGTGGGGGACTAGTTGAAGAGGTAGGAGGGAAGGGATGGGAGGGGAAAACAAAGGAGTAGTCAACAATGCTCAATAGGAAATGTACTCATTACCTTGCTTATGAAACTGTAACCCCTCTGTACAGCATTTTTACATAAAAAATGTAAAAAAATAGAAGTAGAGATGTGGCTCAAGTGGTAGAGTGCTAACCTTAAAAAAAGCCAAGTAAGAGCCTGAGACTGATTTCAAACCCCAGTACTGGCACTAAAAAGAAAAGTAAGCAAACAAACAAATAAATATAAGAGAAATTACATTTATGAGGTTTTATATGGGTAGAAGAAAGGGAACTCTGGGGAGGAAATTCTGTTTCTCACTTTCCCCGAGACTCATTGCTGAGAAGGTATTTCTACGAAAGGCCTTTAACAAGGAAACCTGTAATTTGGGGGATGTTTTAAATTAGCAGAGGGAAGAAGTGAAATGAAAAATTGAGTAACCGAAAGGCACACTGAAATCAGTGAGTTTGCAAGGTCTCTGTGGCTGCTCTAACAGCACCTCTGACTTACACCAAGGGTAGCACAAACACTTTCTTAGTTTCTGACAGGGCTGCCCATTTGCTATCTGCAGGACAGATGCTCAACAATAAGCAACAGTCAATCTAATCAGTAGTAATCACTGGCAATGTATAATTATCAAATGTCCATTTGAAAAAAAATTGTAACCCCTAGAAACAGAGCACTGCCTCCTGTCCACATAAAAAAGCTAACCAGACGTGATTTCTGGACAATGAACACAGAGCCATCTGAGAACTGAGAAGTAGTCATACACAAACTAAGTCTGGACCATTGGATACTGATGATATTAAAAATTATCATTAATTTTTATTAAAATTGCATAATTATGTTTAGATTTATTTGCTTTTTTAGAGGTCCATTCTAAAACGTGTATGGTTGAAGTAATTTTATTCAGAATGATAAGGGGAAGCTGGATGATAGTCTTGTGGGGGTTCACTACTCTCTACTTTAGGATGTATTTGAAATCTTTCCTAATAGAACATTTGAAGAGAAAGGTCATAACTTCATGACCGCAATAAGACATGTTGCTATTAATAAAAGTCGAATCCTTGGAAGTGGGACTTGATGTGCAGAGGACATCAACAAACAGAAGACCCCACAGCCAGCTGGACAGAGACAGGTCACTTACGTGGCTCAGTTGCTGGGCATTGATCTTGGCTTGAATAATTTGTGGTGTATTGGCTATAGAGCTGTACTTGAATTTATCAATGCTCTGTCTGTAGTTGACCTAGGCAAAAACAAACATAGAACAACTTCACTAGTGGTTACATCTAAGATTTGCTTAGCCTTCTTCCCCAGATCAACTACATAGATATTCTCAACTTGCCAGGAAAAGAATGAACTTTCCCAGCTATATACCACTGGTTGTAGAAAACCAGTGCCATGAAGAATGAATGTTTGGACAGGTAATTTATAAAAGAGATCAACTAATTGGCCAGTGAACCTAGGATAAGGTGCTTATCTACATTGTTAAAGAAATGTGTATTGTAATCACGAGATACACTTCTATATGAACTTAAGGAGAGAAAATTGAAATTGCTGAAAATATCAAGCTTTGGCCAATATCAAGCTAAGGAAATCCCTAATACGGACAGATGAACAGAATGATATAAGTACTTTGGAAATTAGGGCACTTATGTGGACATATGTACAGATACTGGGTCCCAATAATTCTCTTCCCTCATTGTCTTATTCCCAATGAAAATAAGCACAGGTCACTTTATAAATTTTCAAGGAGTATAATTTATAGGTAGTATATTTTCCTTGTATGTCTTTCTTACACATCACAAAAAAAGATGTTAAAGAAAGAAAAGCTGGATTATAGGCCTTACTAAAGCCGTACACAAGCCTTCCAAGATGCAAAAGAGCCGCAGTGACCTTTCCAAGGACAGTCCTAGCATGTCCTAACTCTATGCAACAGCTCTTTCCTGGCCCTAATTTCCACCTGCCACAGTCCACTAATACTAAATTTGGCACTTTTCTGGAAGAGGAAGTGGAATCTTCAGTTTTGCTTTCTGCATCGAGTGCCTGGCTTCTCACTTCTAGATATTTGGGGTGAGTGAATTTTCTCCCTTCAAAATGCAAATTGCTCTTTGAAAGTGAAGGATCATTATGCATTGGCATACACATACACTCAGTCATCTCATTTTCCTCCAAATGCACCAGGTCCAGTGTAGAGAGAAAGAGAACTTGGATGGAATACAACAGCAGTGAGCTGGAGCGAAGGCAAAGCATGAGGTTGCGAACGGCCAATGGCCTCATTCATAAGTTCACAACCAGCTGAGCCCAAAATCCAGATAAAAGGAGTGAACTCATCTCTAAACCAACTCATCCACTCCTTCAACAAACAGTCATGGGAGTCGATGTCAAATAAGCAATCTTAAACACAGCCCTGCTCATGGAGATAGCTCACATGAGTCCTTGTTTCCAGGACCCTGAACAGATGCAGTCTCTCAGGACATCTGAGCTTCTCTGCACACGGGCTCCAGGTTAGACCCATTTACAAGCTGGGTCCGGGCTTGGCTTAGAGAGAACCATATCACTGTCAAATGCCCCTATACAGATTTGAAGTCTTTGTCTGATTGTATGGAACCCAGGATCCCACCCCGCATACCCTAGTGTAGGGCTTCTAGAGACTTGTGTTTTTCATTCCCACAGTCTATTGCTTTTAGCCAAAGCCAATACTGAATATACAGGGACTTACAAGTTAACCTCATGAACAAGGCCTGGGAAGGCTTGAGTACGCTTAGTACTGGACCACAGAGTGTTCAGTTGGCTTTGGAGTGCAACACAACATCACTTGGTACTTCTTTGTTATGATTCATGGAGAAAAGTTTTATATATCCTGAGTATACAGGAAAAACTAGGGAATATAAAGTCATTTCAATGTCAACTATTAATGAGATTAGAGAACTGTGACTTCCTAATGCATTAATTCAGAAGGAATATTATCAACTCATAATAGAGTCTATTAGAATACAGAATTATGCAGGATAAAATGGCATGAAAATTGTATTTTTAAGTGGCATATTCCTTCCTGATAATTCTGCATTAAGTATGTCACAGAGCACAATTACTTTTCTCTGCAGGACATAATTAAGAGTCTCCATGATTAATCACATCTCTGCAACATCACAAATGCTTGGCCATTGTGCTTCCATCTATATTGGGTGTCTTTGCTAAAGATAGTCTCATTTGAATTCTATTAGTGTTTATAAAATCCATCTGAGAGAATGCTCTTTAATTAAAAACCCATTCTTTATTTAATTCCATAGCTCATTTTACCACCTTTACAGACAGTGGCCATAGAAGCTCTTGAAAATGGAATCTCCAAATTTCCTGAATACAAAGGCCGCTGTGTGAGAGATGATGAACTCAAACACACACCAGAGCCAGGAAGACAAGGGAAAGGAGAAGACATACAAGAGAGCAGCCATTACTCAGCTCTAGCCCATGGCTGCCATGCAAAGACCTAAGGTTACTTTTTCCAGGGTTTGCAGATTTTTTTTTGTCGGTGGAGGGCCCTAACTCTGGGCCTGGGCGCTGTCCCTCAGCTCTTCAGCTCAAGGCTAGCACTCTACTACTTGTGCCACAGAGCCAGTTCAGCTTTTTCTGCTTAGGAATTTTGAACCTAGGGCCTCATGCATGCAAGGCAAGCACTCTACCACTGAGCCACCTTCTCAACCCCAGGATTTTCAGATTTTTAAAGAAAAAGTAAAGATCTTAATTTTTATCTGAGCTCACAACTTCCACATGTTGGTTCATTTAAAAAAATTATGCGGCCAAATCTTCCTGTCATCTGGATGTAGCTTATATACTGCCAGTTTAGAACCTATCACCAAAACCAATTTAATATATTTTTCAATCTAATTTAATTCTTGTATCAGACTTCCAAGGATAGCTAGCTATATTTCCAGAGTATAATTTGATCCCAAGTCTTATAGGGACACATGGAGTAGTCTGCCATGTTCCAATGGGAAAATGTTCCAATTGTGGGATTTGATCTTATTTTGTCTGTGTTCTTGATTAGGTAGTATTCCAATAGTTCTGTAGTACTACTACAAAAGTACACATTCACGTTGTAAAGAAATACTTTAAATGGGTAAGTGTTCCAAGGATGAAGTCCCCATCTCTCAAGAAGTAGCTTTGGCAGTAGCCAAGGTAAAGGTGAAATGAGTAGGTCCACACAATAAAACTTCCTGGAAGAATTACTGGTTCAGTCTTTGATATTTTTATATTTGAAAACCTTTTCAACTCAAAAGACTATTGTTTGCTAACAATTGCTCTTCAATGTCCAGGACACTGTTAGACCCAAATGCATTCTATTATCCTACTTTGAGCCAGAGGGGAAGGGGAGAGAGAAGAGGGAGGGAACAAAAAGGAACAAAAGAAGAGAGAGAGAGAGGACAGAAACAGAAAGAGGGACATGGTGAGAGGTGGAAAATGAACAGTACTAATAGGAAAACCTGTCAACCCCTGGATCTGTACTGGTCCCAAAGGAATTCAAGGAAGGCAGCACTCAACAGTTAATAAATATATTTCCACTAATTAAAAACCATGACAACAACTAATTTTTAAACTACTTTAAGTACCCATTAAGGTAGTAGATGACTTTTGTCTCTTTCTTTATACTTTTCTACTTTTTCTATATTTTCTATAATAAACATATAGTACAAGTTCTGGTGACCAGAAAACAATCAGTTTAAATTAACTGAACTGTTTTGTTTGAGATGACAAACTATCTCATCATTTGGTATCAACTGTGTATCATTTCACTCACTATCATATTGAACTCCAAAGTTTTTTTTCTTCTGTTAATAAAGGGTCATCATAGCTATGGAATAACCTGATAATTTTTACAAACTTGCCCAGCAGATGCAAGCACCAAATTCTGAGAAGAAACTGAACTCTAGGATATCTTTGAGACAGATAGAATTGTCTGCATTTGACACTGAATAGCTGTGTTTTGACTATGCATAAATGGACATCCTTTAGGGGAAAGTTCCCCTTTCTCAGTCCTTCAAACTCCTAGGAATCAGTGTTTTGTTTCTTTCCACCTCACTGTCCCCCAGGAAGGAAGTGACAAGTAATCAAGCAAATGGGCTGTTGGAAGAGGACTTACATCTTTCAAGGGAAGCAGCTTCATTGTTGTTTGGTAGGAAGGAGTAAGAGTGGCTGGATAGTTGTAGTCTACAATGTCATGTTTATAATCTGCCTTGTAGGCAATCTGAAACCCAAAGAAAGAGAAAGCAGACACCACTTACTTTTGACCTTGTTTGAATGTCATAAGAGTATTTTTAAATAGCCAGAAACAAAATTAATTCAGTTTCATCAGCTCCAAGGAAAATTAAACTGTGTTCACACTTTTGCCTTTAATTTGAATTCTTCCTAATTAATCCCAAATCACTTAACTTCTATCAGTAGCATATTTATTTCAGTTTCCATTTTAGTTATGTGACTCCTTGTTGTCTGTATTAAGGATGATTTGTTGCACATGGGTATACAATAAAAGTACTTTTTGATGAACCCCAAGAAAATAAATGAAAATTGAGGAATCTCCAGAGAATTTTTTCCCCCTTCTGATCAAATCTGATATACTCAGAGAAAACCTAATGTTAGTATGTTTTAATAAGGAAATCAGATCCATTTAAGTACTCTTTACTTCCAAGATTTTAACCTGCATTTACTACTCTTTTAATTGGATTGATAAAGCTAAAGATAAATCAGTAGCTTTTAGGATATAAGGAATACAAGTACCTGATCTATTTTGTTATCTCACTATGTTAACCAACATGGAGGCATAGTAGCTCTTCAAAGAATATAATGACTAAATAAATGAACTCATCAACCAACCCAACAAGTTCAAATAATTCACATAAGCTTTGGAACCTTGAAGAATTTCAAATTTGAACCATGCTCATCAATGTCTCTTTATCTCTCAGAAACTAAAAATCTTTTTTGTCATATTTTATCATATCAGATCAATTATAATAGATCAAAGTATTCTTCAAACCAGAGAAAGCTAAGATAAATAAATTGAGTCTTGGAAAATTTTATGAAATTTCATATATAGTTGATGGTATTGGTTGACACCTAGAAATTTGTATGGGTCCATTTTTACAAACCAGAACACAAATGTTTTAGAAATGGAGGTTGAAAAAGAATGGGCTGAATTACTATTGCCCCACCCACTGACTCCCACAGCCCCTTGCAAAAAGTACTCACGTTGCTGGCCAGACTGCCAACTTTCAGAGCATGGAGAGTGCGTCTATCCATGCCAACTCCTTCATAGTGGCCTCTCATGTGGGTCTGGTAGTTTTCTTTATATTTATTCTACATGGAAATACAAAACTTCCAATGAAAACTTGTCAACAGGTTGAAGATAAACTACTTATTTTAATACTCTAAGTCCAAATATATCAATCATCCAACATAATCTATTCACGGATCCATTGCATCCTTGAATAAAAATAAAAGCAACACCTTTTTTACAACTTCAAGCAAGCCTAGGAAGTAGGAGTCTGATGGGCACTGGGTTATAATGCAGACTGGATCTGTTTGTTTTCATATTATGAATTTAGCACATTTAGGAGTTGATAAGTAGAGCTCACCAATGGACAACCATCCATAGATGGCTCTGTGGGTGAGGTTGGTAGAAGCCACTGCATGCCATTACCTTTATTTCTAAATATAGTTGAGCCTCTGCCATGTGACCCACATGCATGGATTCAACCATGAATCAAAAATATTCAGAAAAAAAGATTGCAGCTGTACTGAACATGTACAGGATTTTCCCCCTTGTCAATACAGCATACCAACTCTTCACATAGCATTCATATCATATTAGTATTATAAGCAATCTAGAGATGAAGTGCATGTGAGGATGCATACAGGTGAGGCAAAGGCTACCAGTTTTTATAGGAACTTCAATATTCTGAGGATTTTGATATTCACCAATAAAGGAGTATCTAGAAACAGTATCTCATGGATTCTGAGGAATGACTGTAATGAGTTTGGTAAAATTCTGTGAGGTAAAAATTAGTTATTACTGCAGACTTGTAAAATAATGATGCTATATCTGAATGCTGCCTATCAAGTAAAGACAACATGGAATGATGACAAATCATAAATGGGAAAATCTAGGCAGCTCATAATGAAGCTCATTGGCATGACCAACCCCAGTAGACTATTAAGTTTCTATGGACTGGGAATATTTAAGTAGAATACTGTTGCTATATATCAAACATGATTCTGCTTATCTGACAAGCACTTTCTGAAAAGGAGGGAACTATCAGCACCCTCATCTTACAAGATAGGCAAAGTGGCTCAGAGAATCTGACTTACTTGCCCACAGTTAACCACTGGACTAATGATGGAACCAAGTATGTTAGCCCTAAAATAGATACTCTTAATCACAACATTTACACCACATTACTCACCAAGAGCCTTACACTATCCCTTGATTATAAATTCTGAAGGAGTCCTTGATAATATCAAGGATACATCATTTGAGCTTTTCTGAGAATGTCCAAATAGCACTGAGTTATCTGTCTCCTTGTTTGTAAGAAAGGAAATAATGTCTGGCTCCCCAGGGGGCAGTGAAGGGGTAAGGGAGATCTTCTGTTAACTCAGAAGCACAGAGTCACATTGAGAAGAGATGTTGTATGCTTAGCTTGGCTCTGCTGCTGGTGTTCATCACCAGTAGTGGGCACTCTGCTGTATAGAAGGGCTGTAAAAGGTCAGAGAGGATAGATAGGTCAATGCCCAGCTTACTAAGTCAAGTGTGAGGAAGGAGGAGGGATGGGAAAGTAGGACAGAGATGGACACTACATAGGCCAATTCCAGCTGCCAACTTCATCCAAAACTCATTGATCTTTGTGCCTGAGGCCATGCTTCTCCCAAAAGCAATTTATTAACATAGATTGTCTCTCAGGAGACTTACACATAAGCTCACAAAACATGCCCAAACACATGCTTAAGCATTAGCAACTCACATCACTGGTGAATTCTGAGATCTTTCTCACATTCCTGAATTGAGGGGTCTCACAGTAGTTGATACTGTGACCTTTACTACTTTCCAGATCCTTCTTATACTCCACCTTGCAAACCAAAAGACCAGACACTTAATAGAACCCAACCCAAAGTCACTCTTTAAAATGTCTCCAGAACTTGACTAGAGTAATGTGGGAAACATTTCAACCCATGATGTAAAAATATGAGGCCTAGGATACTGTATGTGTTTTCCTTTGCAAAAACAAATAGTAAATAACCAATTAATTTCTAAAAGTTAAAAATAGATAATCCTTTAAAAAATACTCTCTAAGACTTTACACAGTCAAAAACTGATAAAGCTTTAGTTGGTCATGTACCTCACTGGTAGAGCCCTTAACTAGTGCATCCAGGATCTGAATTTGATCACTGCACATCAAGATACATTTTGTGGGGATAAGGGTGTTCCTGGTACTTGAACTCAGGGCTTGGGTACTCTCCTTGAACTTTTTTTTTTTTTTTTTGTCGGTCGTGGGGCTTGAACTCTGGGCTTGGGCGCTATCCCTGTGCTCTTCAGCTCAAGGCGAGTCCTCTACCTCTTGAGCCACAGCACTGCTTCTGGTTTTCTAGTGGTTAATTGGAGATAAGAGTCTCATGGACTTTTCTGCTCAGGTTGGCTTTGAACCATGATCCTCAGACCTCAGCCTCCTGAGTAGCTAGGATTACAGGTGTGAGCCACCAGTGCCTGGCTCCTTGAGCTTTTTTGCTTAAGGCTACAACTCTACTTCTGGATTTGGGGTGGTTAACTGGAGATAAGAATCTAATGGACCTTCTTGCCTGGACTGGCTTTGAAAAGTGACCCTCAGATGCCAGCCTCCTGAATAACTAGGATTACAGGCATGAACCCCTGGCACCTGGATAAAACTATAGATATTTAATAGCAAAACTGGTTTTGGGGATCTGGTGATTATTCTTAAGGGGAAATGTCTTAAGAGGATTATAGGGAGATGTCCAGACTTCTCTTTATGCTCTATTTTTAATTTGAGAGCTAGTTAAATAGATCTATCCACATGTAAAAATCCTTCTCACTGTATACTTCTGATGTATGTACATCTCTGTGGGTATATTTCAATAAAAATTAGCCACAAAGGTACTTTACACAGGAGTATAACAAAGGTAGCCACACTGATAGAGTGTCTTTAATTTATAATAAGTCTACTAGAGCTCTCATGGGTGTGCCTGGGTTGAAGACATGAGGCTTTGGTTATTAATAGACTTTAAGTGTCCCAGGTTACTGCAGAAGATAGGTAAGGGTGAACACCATAACTACAGTGAGGGCAAAATGAACTTGAAGGTTCCCCTGTGACTTCTTACAAAGGAAATACAACTTAATTGTTATCATATCTATAACATACCTTTTAAAGTATTCAAGATGTGTTATAAAATGTTTACAATATAACACAAGGTAAAACAAAATAGAGTTGAATTCTAACCCAAAAGTGTGGACAGTTCTATGCAAGTGGCCTGATTCCACTCTGGTCCCTGAAAGTTCCTATGAATCAGAAACAGGAGTTTTACTTTTCCAGATCTATGACAAAACAATGGCTTTATCATGGCAAAGGTCCCATCTTGAACTAAAACATGACACAATAATAAGCATTACAGGCTTTGCCACACACATGGTTCATATATCATACACTAAGTTCCACATTGACAGATGGAACGTAATCAGGCAATACATGACTATGATGTGGCATGTGCCAATAAAACTTTATTTACAAAATTAGGCTGTGGGCTGCATTGAGCACTGAGCCCACAGTGTACTAATCCCTAAAGCATCAGAACCACCTATAACATTTGTTTAAACACAGAATCCAAAGCCTCAACACCCATCTACTACTTTAAAGTGTCTGATGCTCAGAAAGTATCACTGTAATTCTGAGCAGTTTCAAGTTAGAGGACCATAGGTCAATGCATGCTTTGGAATAGCAAATTATGGCCTAGCCTTTTGAGATTAAAGAAGAATAATAAGACATTTGCATCTCTGTTTCTGAGTTGCATATAACCTCTTATGGGAGTACTTTTCAGAGCCATACTCTTCCTTGTGCCAGAGGTTGACTGTTTGGGTACCTTTACAGTTCTGAAAAGGGATGCAAAAACATAGTAGGGTGTAAAAAGGACCTGGAACTAGAGATGTATCTTGCCAAGTAGTCCTAACATTGCAAGAAAGCTTAAAACAGGTAGATCAAACAATATGTACCTTCTAGCAGCCAGGTCAGACTGTAAGGTAAGAGGAATTTGCATGGTACACACAGCTACTCTGTATTCTTACTCTAATGATAAGAAGAGTCTGACATTAGAAACACCCTTCCTGTTCTTGGGTTTTTACCCTACAACAGTAACATGTTTTAAGTTATCTTTCTGACAACTAGAAATCCATTGCCTGGTCTTTTTTGAATAGCTATAACACAGTAAGGATTTGGGAAGAAAGTTTTGAACCACCAGGAAAAAGATTTAATTTATTTGAGCCTATCTTGCTAATCAGTTTTCCTGCACATTCATTCTCTGGTAACCCAACAATAGTACATGTAGCATCACACTCTTAGCAGCATTGTTTGAATTACAGGCCTAGCCCGTTTCTGTCAAGGAAATAATGTGGATGAAAACACGTGAATGTGACTATTAATTTCCATACGTACTTCACTAACAAGCTTATTCACACTCTGAGCTCGTTTAAGAACCAAGTTGTCTTGAGCTGGGAGAGAATGGTAATGCGCAGCGCCTTTCATCTTATGGAAGTCCTGTCTGTATTTGAGCTGAAACAAACATACAAGAGTGGTTGTTGTGAGAGAACTTACTCTGAAATTACCCCAGACTTAACATTAATATTTACTCAATAAAATTTTCTAGAGGGAAAAGAGTTGTGGACATTTTCCTCCATTAAATCGATAAACTGAAGATAGGATCCGGTAGCTTATTCTTATGATCCTAACTACTCAAAACTTATGAGATTTGAGGATCACAGTTCAAAACTAGCCCAGGTATAAATGTCTAGATACTCTTATATCCAGGTACATAACAAAAATTCAGATTTGGAGGTGTGGCTCAAGTGGTACAGCACCAGCCTTGAGGGGAAAAAAAACCAAGAGCAAACTCCAATAGCAGCACAAAGACAAACAAAATAAACTGCTAGGTCTTTTCTGTATTAAAGTTTTTAATGCCCTGCTTCACAGTTCTTACAGTTTATACTGTGATCTGGTATTTTAAAAAGGTCTTAAAATGATCATAAGAAAGGATGCAATTGCAATTTAATTTTGCCCATCATTTCACCCTTGGCCTGCTAAGGGGATGTAAAGTGAAATAATGTCATATATTTCCCTTCTCAGGGCAAAAGTGGTGCTGTTCTGGGAAAGTGAATACTAATTGGATGGTAACAGACTCAAGAAGGGCCAAGGTGGAAGAAAGCACTGCTTGGTTCTGACTAGAGACCAAGTTCAAGCTGGCACATTAAGATCTGCAATGGGTACTTCACTTTACCATGTTTAATTATAGCTCACCTTTCAAACATTGCCAGCTGGCTATCATTCTGTAGATAAAAATCATTTTATCACTGGCCTATGCTCGGGTTGATAAACATATGACTGGTTTTAATCAGCTCTACTTCTAAAATGCTCAATTTCTCAGCAACTTTCTGGTGAAGACGTTCCTAACCCCATCTTATCTAGCTGGACTAGTTTTGTACTTACTTCAAATGACCTAAAGTGAGTTGTGCTACTTGTCTCTGCCAAGCTCCTTGGAAGCAGTAAATGCAACCAAATACTCTGAACAGCAAAAGAAGGCATCAGAAATTTGGATGGGAACTGAGGGCTAGAATAACATGGTACTTTGGCTGAGCTCTAAGGAATGTATCTGTGTGTAGGTTTCTTCAGTGCCTCTTCTCTTCTGCCTCTGCTGATAAGCTGCCCCTGGATGGTACTTACGTCACTGGCGAGTTCATTAGCCTTCTTGGCATTCTGATAAGCAGGGGTGATCATGGCTGGGAAGCTGCCCTTTCCCCTGGGCTCTCCATTCTCCTCCAAGTAACCCTGCTGAGCCAATCAGAAACTTTGGTTACTTATGCTCCCCGCCCTAAAACAACCCCTAGAGCCTGTTCCCACACAGTCCATCCACACTGGTCCAGTGATTGCCACTGGAGATGTACTGTGTGATGGGTAAGATGTTAGATCCCGGAAGTCAGACTCACTTACTAGTGGCTAATACATAATCAGCACAAAGCAAGTGGTAATTCTTGCCATTATCATTAATATTTCCATTGGATAAACCAAGATACTTGACCCGTTTCCCAGTTTCATGCTCTAAGGAATGCATGTGTCTTAACTCATGCCAGCAAAGAACGTCGTCTTCCCATATATAATCTTGAATACTACTTTACTTGGGTCCAATGATTGGTCTATGAAGAGGTCTATGATTTGACATCCAAATATTGATGTTTGTCATGTAACCAGAAAAGAAATAGAACACAAATGTTCGTAATTTAGGGATGAAAAGCTTTGAAATGCTACCAGATTATCTGAAATAGGAGTGAGTATGTATTTTAAACAAAGGACTATAATCTCACTTTTCAGTTTTCTTTATTCTTTTCCATACTATTCACCCATGCCCAAAAAGGAAAATTTTGCTCATGGGATCATCATGACATGACTGAGAAGGAAGTATTCCTGTGTTTCGCTGGCAGCCAGATTTACTCCATGACCTGCTCAGATGCACCTTCACTTAGAAGCCTCTGAGTCACTCCCTGGTCGAAGTCCTGCCTTGGGCAGAATCTGCTGATTCCTCATTTGCATCTTACTCAACAACCTGAGACACTCCTTCTTGTACCTCTTTGGGCTCATAACTCCAACTCTCTGGGGTCTGCTCTAGGCAGAAGTTTATCTCAACAGCTTGGACTTTGGCACACACATTTTCTTAAACCATTGGGTCCAATTTGCTCTATGTTTTCTCCTATCCTGCTTTATAGTTTTGTGTTGGTAGCTTTATTTTAATGTATGCATGTGTGTGTGTGTGTGTGTGTGTGTGTGTGTGTGTGTGTGTGTGTGTGTGTGTGTGTGTGTGTGTGTGTGTATGTGTGTGTGTGTGTATAAATCTTTTCCTAAGACATCTACTTCTGTTAAGGAGTTCATTGGTTACAAATAATAAATTGATTACCTGATACAGTCTTTTTCACAAGTTGAGTTATTCATTAAAAAAAAGAATGAACTGGTTGGCACTTAAGGCATTACAGATATTTATAGTTTATCTGCCTGTCCCCCTGCTTCTCTCTCACTCCCTCCTACTCATGGCTTGGCAATTCCTGCCAAATTACCCAGCTAAATGCCAGGCTAGGTTGAGTCCCCTCAACAGCTGCTAACTAGGGTATCAAACAACACCCATGTAGACTCTCATGTTTGCTTTTAAGACTAGAAACTTCAATCAAATTGTTCAAATAATCAAGAGCCAAAAATAAGACTATGAAATTATATTTCAAAATATGTTCACACCCATAGATAAAATGTAATCATATGAACACACATAGATGAACTATGACACAGATATGAAATTATATATATGTTATAACTAGGGGTAGGCAAAACTATGCAAAATATTTTTGCCAATTATATTAATGAAGCCAGATTGTTTTAAATAGAACTGATTTTGTAAAAGTTTTTCTAAGCCTTCTAAATGACATATTTAAGACATGAAACAATTAAAAGCATATTTTCATTGAATTTAAATCATTAAGATACCACATGACTAACAGGTAGGATTTGATAGATTTTATGATGTGAAACCAAGTATTATTATTGCTTTGATAGATATTAGCAAAGTGATTACAACCAGACACAAAACCTTCATATACATTCTAATGGCACACAAAAGTATGGCAACTTGCTATTCTAAAGAAGAGAAATAACTTCCTTCATGGGTTATGTGTCTGGTAGAGCCTATCTACTGGCAAATAATTCAAACTAATTAAGAGAAAATCATTCCAGTATGTACACTTTCTCACTTCCATTTCTTTTTTAAAATTTGTAACTGAAAATAAATGATGCTTCCATTACTATGCACAACACACAGAAAACACTAAAGGATATGCAAATAAAAACTTGCTTTTATCTGTTGTATCCAACTTTTCTCTTTCTGAAAAGATGAAGTTCATCTAAGAAATGCAATCAGGAAATAAAAAAGGTATGCACTCTTTGCTTTATCTAGGAACCTAGATAAGAAATTCACTTCCTAAAGAAATGAGCCCTGCTATGCAACAAACTGCTCCATATTTTTTAAGATACTTTTTTTGATTACCTTCATGTTTAGGCAATGATGGACAAAATATAATCAATCTTAGTCTTTAGGACTATTCTTCAGTGAACTGAGAAGAATGCTTTATTCTTGGCCAAGCTGCCATAGTTGTATAGAATCTTTAATTATAAAAAATAAATACTTAGAATCTATTATCTTACATAGGTCAAGTTGATCCCTGTCTATCTGTCTGCTACTTTCTGGCTTAGAAAATCCAGAATTCATGAACAAAGATTAAGCACAACCCACAAATGGACATGAACTGTGTTCCAGCTAATAGAGGCCAACCTGAGAACTGCCTATAGAAAAGACCAGTCTCCCAGAAAGACATTGTATCACATACCTGGTCATACCGGACTACACCTTCCTTTGTCAAAGTACCCTCAGCTCCAGTAGCTGAGCCAGCTACTCCTCTCATCTCTCGTTGATATTGTTGATGGTACCTCACCTATTTGGAAGCAAAGGACAAACTCAGTAAGTCTAGCTTCCCAGAAACAGGAGTCAGAAGAGTAAAAAAAAATGAATTGTGGAATATTCTTGCTCTATTATTCTTGAGTCTAAGGCATATGGCTTAAACACAGAAGTACCAGGTCAATGTCATGGTAAAAATGATTAAACACTATGGAGAAAAACTACTTCTTGGCATCAGCAAGCATGCAAAAGCAAACAGGAAGTTGGGCTCCAAAAGTTCATGTTAACTTCATGTTTCTTCCATGTGACAACATAACTATGAGCACTTACATCACTTGCCAGCTCATTGGCTCTTTTGGCTATCTGATAAGCAGGGGTGATCATAGCAGGAAAACTGCCTTTCCCTCTCTGTTGTTCATAGTCTTCTGTGTATCTCACCTAGAGAATTAAAAACAAAAGTATATCTCATGCTACAATCTTATCATAGGCTGGATGATCTGTCAGGTGTTCTGTTAAGGAGTCCCATGACACCTCGCCCATTCTGTAAGACAGATCTTAAGGCATATAATTGACATAATTACAGCATGGTCCACCATGTGCATACAATCTACTTGTTTTTAGTTCTGATACCCAGTGCAATGTGTGGAGACAAATGGAGACACTCAACATGGAGTTCAGAGCATCTTTGTGTTCCATCTGGTGCGGGCCAGCTGGTGGGGCTGGGCAGAGGAGTAAGAGTCTGTCCTTGAGGAGCTATGGTCAAGTTTGGGAGTTAATGGAGGCTTCTTAATTTCAGATCTAGGCTAAGGCAGGTGTGGAAATCACTTATTAAAGCAAACCTGTATTTTGTCCTCACCTCTGGCTCAGCTAAACACTAAATTCTTGGTCTTTGTTTGCTATTCAGCACTGAATGAAAAGATAAGTGGAAAAAATTCTTCAAAACTTATGTTCCCTAATTTGTACTGGAAAGAGAGATTTCTTTCAGATTAATGAGATACATCTAGTTTGGTATTAATCTGGTCTCAAGGTTTCACCTTAAAGAATGTTTGTGAAACCGGGTGCCAGTGGCTCACACCTATAATCCTAGCTACTCAAGAGGCTGAGATCTGAGGATTGCTGTTCAAAGCCAGCCCGGGCAGGAAAAGCTGTGAAACTCTTAGCTTCAATAAACCACCAGAAAACTGGAAGTGGCACTGTGGCTCAAGTGGTAGAGCGCTAGCCTTAAGCTGAAGAGCTGAGGGACAGTGCTCAGGCCCAGAGTTCAAGCCCCATGACCGACAAGAGAGAAAAAAAAGAATGTTTGTGAAGTGCATGCTAGCTGACATATTAGACTCAGTCTGAGAAAATTCTTCCTGGGATCAAGGGAAGACTAGGAGGCCTCCTATATTCTCTCTTTCTTCTCCTCCAGTTAACAAAGAAAAAGGCATCTAAGACCTGTATGGCTTATCCTTCATGATTTCTTACATCACTTTGAAGCTGTCCTCCAGCCTTGGCCCGTAGGAGTTCAGGGGTATCTGCCACTGGGGTGAACTTGGAGATGTGTTCATCATGCCCTCTCTTGTATTCCACCTGAAGAGGAGACAGCACAGAGTGAAGGTCACGACTGCCTCACACTCCCTGTAAGAACCTTTCCAAGCAGCTCTAAAGGAGCTACAGCATCAGACTATACTTACAGAGAGCCAGTGGGGAGGTGAGGAGGGTCTCATGGCACTTAATTTAATATCTGTAACAACTACATACAGTGATGGAACTAATGTTTTCCCTATTTACAAATGAGAAGCTAGGGAAACAGAGAGGTTAAGTAATTTTCCCCATAGCCATACATCAAATAGGAGATAACGTCAGGATTCAAATCCCAACATGCTGGCTCCAAATAAGTTCTTAATCAATAAACTATGCTACTCTTGCAGAGTTAAGTTTTAAAAAATCAGCAACCCCCCAAAATATTTTGGTCCGGTCTTTGGGTGAGCTATACCTATATGGTCTCTGTCCATTTTGTAGGTGTGGCCAAATCAAGGAACAGAAGGTCAACAATTGGGATATATAAAAACACAATTTTCTACATCATGCAATGCTATCTATACCTATGGTCCAAAGCACTCACTTATGTATGTGTGTTTTTCCCCTGAATCACAGAGCTTCATAAACCCAAAACTTAGCACAATCATTGATAAAAGTGGGCACTAGGGCTGGGCACCGGTGTCTCACGCCTGTAATCCTAGACACTCAGGAGGTTAAGATCTAAGGATTGCGGTTCAAAGCCAGCCTGGGCAGAAAAGTCCCCATGAGACTCTTATCTCCAACTAACTTCTCAAGAACCAGAAGTGGTGCTGTGGCTCAAGTGGTAGAGTGCTAGCCTTGAGCACAAAGAGGTTCTGAGACAGTATCCAAAGCCCTGAATTCAAGCCCTACAACCAACACACAAAAAAGTGGGCACTGGGACACTCACTTGGCTGGCCAGTTGGTTGGCTTTCTTGGCTCTTTGATAAGCAGGTGTGATCATGGCTGGGAAACTCCCTTTACCCCTCTGTTGCTCGTAGTCTTCTGTGTATTCCTGTTGGTTAAAACAATGAAAGCTTTGTACTGGTTGAGAACTAAAAAAACTAAGGAAAACAGGATTCATTAGATACTTTGGAAACATTTCCATCTCCTGGAGTTAAGTTTGAAAATGGTATTTGCAAATCACCATCCACACTGAGGAACACATTCCCCACATCTAAGGCTATCCCCTTCAATGTTTATATCAAATTATGGGAAGTCTGGCATAACACTTTGTCTCCAAGGATTTTATGTTAGTAATTAGTGCAATGACACTTTGATAAAATTTTTCTGCTGGGAGTAGTTTTACAGCAAAGGGAGAGAATGTCTTGCTTTTCCTCCTTTCTTTCTGAGCATCTCTGATCATTACTTTTCCTAATGAGACATATCATCGTATCATGTGCACTTCACTGTCTTTCCATTTTCTAAAAGAAAAGTCATGAAGATTAACAGTATTTCCCAAAGTGGACTCTTCAAAGGGTAGGTATGTGCTAAAGGCCAGGGATATGTTCTGCAAATAATGACCTCTGAAATCAGGGATCGATTGCCTTTCTATGGCAAATCTCAAAGATCTCTTACAGTTCTGGAGGTCAGAAGGTTAAAGTAGACTATCAAGGTTGACTCATTCTGGAAGGACTAGAAGAGAATCCATCTCTTTATTGTCTCCAGCATCTGAAGGGCCTTTTGTTCCTTGGTGCCTAGACCCACATGACTTTGACCTCTGATTTTGTCATTGCACAGCAACTTTCCCCTAATTCTGATCCTCCCACCTCCAGGTCATGGAGACTTGTGTGATCACACCTAGCCCTCCCTAAGAATCCAGGACCTTCCTGTCAAGAGCCTTCATTGAAGCACAGATGCATAGTCTCTTTGACTAATCAGGTAACATTGCACAGATTCCAGAGATTAGGGAATCATTGAGAGGGACAAGTATTTTGTTTACCACAACCCTAAAAATAAAAGAATACTCAAACTCATCATTCAAATACCTGTTCAGAGTCCTTACCTCACCAAGAGACTGTCGTGCCTCAACCATCCTGACAATTTCAGGGTCTGGCAGAGCTCCTGGACACCAAGTGTTCCCTTCCCCATATCCAGGCCAGTAGGCTCTCTATAAAGGAAACACACAGGTGCTTATAAACACATGCCCTGTACATTTGGTTGCCAAGATCCCGCTATCTGCCCACATTCCTAGTAACACTCACATACTTCGCAAAATAAGATGTTCTTTAAAAACCATCATAAGCTCCTCTTGATGAGTGGTAAGTCTCCACTAACTAGAGTGCACATTTTTTCAGACTACAAAAATGCCCTAACATCCTAAATAATTGAATTTCCTGAGATATGTTAATGATATAGAAGAAAGTCTAAATATAACTTAACACATTGTTGCTCATCATTTGCTAAGATTGGGCAGGGGTGGGGAAGTCCTTGTTGACAGACAACCTGAGATTAATCGGCATTATTCAGACACACTTCAAAAAAACCTACTGTCTATTATGTTCCTGACAACTGACAGTGAGAAAGGCAAAAGACAAAAGACAAATTTCTCTTTAAAGATATTTATAATTTAACAGCGGAGAGAAAACAAACATAGGAAACAAAAAACAATTAGGAAACATTGGTAGGGTTGCATAAGCTTTGAAAACAGTAAGCTGTCAAACAGTCTGTAGGGGCTGGGCTTTGGTTTTGGCAGGGAGAATAGAATTTGAAAATAGAATAAAATAGAATAGAATTTGAGCTGGAACTCTAGGGCTAAGGCCTACAGTTAATAGAAGCAAAGAAGGAAATGGCCTATGCCAGCTAGGTCCATGCCATGAAACAGGAATTTCATGCATCATTCACGAGTGAATCCCCATAGCTTAGCACACAGCAGAGTCAGTGACTATCTACCAAGCGAACTGCAGGAGTGTGACTTGCTGTGAAGGAAGGCTAGAGGGTGAGGGGTTTGTCTTAAAGACCACAAGGAGCTGAATGTAACTGGACAGGAGGGGCAGAGCTTGGAGACAGCAGATGGGCTGCAGGTGGGACAAGCTGGCAGGTTGGGCAGAGCTAGGCTTTGGAGATCCAAGAGGATTTTATGACAGTATCAATAACAGGTGGAGGGAAAGCTAAATGTAAACAAAGTGTAAGAAAACACACAAAATCTTTATCCGGTAATATCAAGCATTGGGGTGAGTGTGGGGGAAACAGGTGTCCCCACAGTCTGCCTAGGGGTATACACTGAAACTCTGCAACACAGAAACTGGAACTAGCCCTGCCCTCTTACGGGTGTACCCAGACCACACTATCCACACCAGCTTGGGAGGCCTGATGATAGATTGCTACAAGCAAACACAGTCAAGATAGATAGATGTAAGTAAACAGAAAACTCCAGAAGGATAACGATGAAACAGATGGGAAGTTGTGAGTAAAGGACTGTTAGGCCTGGCACTGGTGGCTCACATCTGTCATCCTAGCTACTCAGGAATCTGAGATCTGAGGATCATGATGTGAAGCCAGCCCCAACAGGAAATTCCATGACTCTCTTATGTTCAATTAACCACTGGAAAACCAGAAGTGGAGCTGTAGCTCAGATGGTAGAGCGCTAGCTTTGAATAAAACAGCTCAGGGACAGTGCCCAGGCCCTAAGTTCAAGCCCCACACAACCAATAAAAAGTAAAAAAAGTACTATCACCTTACTTATATAATTGCAACCCTCTGTACATCACCTTGATAATTAAAAAAAGTACTAGTAGGATATTTTTTTACAATGACAAAAATGCAAGTCTTGGGTGTACAATTAAAAATACATGGCTGAGGAATTCTGAAGTGGGCAGAGAAATAGGTTAGGGTAATCCAGCAGGCTGTGTGTGACTGACATGGCCCAGTAGGCTGAGAGGCCAATCTACAAGAGGGAAAGGCATTGCAGGAAGGCCTCACAGAGGTCCAGGCAGGAATGACATAGGTCATGATGAAGACAGAGCCATGGAGAGGAAGGGCTGGGCTCAGTGAAGCATCAGAGGAAAATGGTATTGGCCTCAAGCCAGGGCACCTGTTCTCAGTGATTAAAAAAAAACACTAGATGGAAGGGACTAGATAGTAAACTGAACTGGAGCAGAGTTAAGATACATTGATAAAAGTACTCCATAAATATCTTGAGTTACAAACTGGATGAAAAGAAAACGAATTGGCTTTCCCTAGACATCTGTGCATATAATTTTCAAAGTATGTCACTCTTCTCTCTCTCTCCAAACCCATGTATCAGGCCTTTCTCACCTCATTCACCAGTGGTTGGTTGTTAGGTACACCTACTCCATCCGTGGATTTCATGTCCCAGTGAAAAACTGATTTAAACTGTTCATCATCTACTCGGTCACTGATCTGTATGATAAAGATACCATCAATAAAGTTTCCATCAGAGAAGAGAAAGAAAAGAAATATTATGCAGCTAAATTGGGGGAGATTTTTCTATAAGACTCAACTGCAAAGCATTTTTATTGCACTACAAGGAATCTGGGTACAATACATCTCACCATGGTCCCATCTGAGCCATCAGCCAGATAACACATATTGAGTGCTCTCTGTACAAGGCTCTATAAAGTAGCACAATTAAAAATAAGATCAAGCCAGGTGCTGGTGGTTCACACCTGGTAATCCTGGCTACTCAAGGAGCTGAGATCTAAGGACTACAGTTAGAAGTCAGCTCTGGCAGGAAAGTCCATGAGACTTATTTCCAATTAACCACCAGAACCCTGGAAGTGGCACTATGGTTCAAAGAGGTAGAGCACTAGCCTTAAGCAAAACAGTTCAGGGACAACACCCAGGTCATGAATTCAAGCCCCATGATGACAAAACAAAGATTGAGATACATTTTCTCTAAATTTAACATACAGCCCAAAGTCTTCATGTTAGAGTAATTTCAGAAAACCTTGTATATCAGACTTACATTCTTCATAAATTAGCCTGTGTAACTGTCACCCAGAGAGCTTTTTAAGATACCATGTTAGAAATGATTAGCTCGCTGATTTCATAAAGGCCTTTTTCATGGTATAATTTTACTTTCAACATCTTGATCAATAACATCTGAGTTGTGTGTGTGTGTGTGTGTGTGTGTGTGTGTGTGTGTGTGTGTGTGTGTGTTCAGATGTAAGGCAGGAGTCAAGTACATTTTTTTGTAACAAACATCAAATCATTCAAACACTTATTTAATTATTCTTGCTATGTTGAATTATAGTTGTGCCTCTGTTATAAATCAAATGACCATATATGAACAAGTCAATTTTTGGATCTTGTATTTTAGGCCACTGAATATTTTTGTGCAGTCCTCCTCTGAGTGATTTGTACTGCCTTTACAGTAAATCTTGAAATCTGATGTCTTATATTCTTCAATTTGTTTATCAATTTGTTTTTTGGCTTACAAGTCTAGGCTTTCAGGTTTGCATGTTAATTTAAAAATCATCTAGCTGGGAGCCAGTGGTTCATGCCTATAATCCTAGCTGCTCAGGAGGCTGAGATTTGAGTATTGTAGTTCAAAGCCAGCCCGGTTGTGAAAGTCCATGAGACTCTTATCACCAACAAAACACACAGAAAAAATCCAAAGTGGCGTTGTGGCTCAAGTGGTAGAGTGTTCACCTCGAGCTGAAGAGCTGAGGGACAGCACCCAGGCCCAGAGTTCAAGCCACATTACAGACAAAAAAAAAAAAAAATCAGTCAGCCAATGCTATAAAATACACTACGGTCAGGTGCTGGTGCCTCATGCCTGTAATGGTAGCTACTCAGAAGGCTGAGATCTCCTTAGATCTCCTTGATCTTAGATCAAGGTTCAAAGCCGCCTGGATGGAAAAGTTTGTGAGATCCTGATCTCCAATTAAATCACTAAAAGCCAAAACTAGAGCTGTAGGTCAAGAGTTATAGCTCCAGTCCTAAGTGAAAAAACTAAGGGACAGCACCCAGGCCCTAAGTTAAAGCCCCAGTACTGGTACACATACACACAACAGACACAGCCAGACAGCCAGACAGCCAGATACACACACACACACACACACACACACACACACACACACACACGCACGCACATGTAACAAAAATCAGTAGGTTCTTGAGTCTCTGATATAGATGTCATAGTGTTTGCATATAGCCTACCTACATGCTCACATATACTTTTAGTCATCCTTAGATTGCATGTAAAAACCAATAGACAGGCATACTGGGACTCTGCATTACTGCCTGTGGCAAGAGCAAAAGCTCTGTTAAAAACGCACTTTATTTTTAATTGCATTTTTATCTTTAAGTAGTTGCACAAAGGAATCGCCTTTGAACAAATAAATACAGGAATACAACAAATCTTGATCAGTGTCACCCCTTTTATCTTTCTCCCCTGTCCACACTTTTGTGAGGACAGGCTGGCAGGTATCAGAGTCAGTATGAGGTGAGGTGACATCAGGAAGGGAGTCTCAGGCAAGCAGAGATTACTAGAGAGTCCTCCACCTCCTGGGTAACTTTCTAATTTTAGAAAACTATTAAGCTCCATCCCACAGAGCAACCTCTCCTGGGGCCTGGACAGGATAAGTTCAATGATTCATCACTTTAACAGATGCAAGAGTTTAATCAACAGCTGGGTATTTAACTGAACTTTAGTGCCGACTTTTCAAAAGAGTCAGGCTTATGAACAAGGCCTCTTTGTCTTCCATCCCAACCCCCATCTACTCAAATTTTATTACCAAATCAAAATATCTTGACCTAGACCTGTACTAGTGGATGAGGGAGCTTATATAATCATAAGCAACTACTAAATTCAGGAAAATTTAAGAGCATGGAACTGGAGGTTTTTAATTTTCTCCACTGAGATATTATAGAGGAAAGAAAAGTAGGACCCTTTCCATATTTTTCAACTATGCAAACTTTTTTATAAGTTTTTTATTGTGAAAATACTGAATAAAGGGGTTACAGTTACATGAGCAAGGTAATGAGTACATTTCTTATCCTCCTTTGTTTTCCCCAATTATGCAAACTTTTTAAAGTAAGCACCTAATGCAAGCAGGGACTGTTGTATAAATGAATATCAGTATGTCTAGAGTTGACCAGATATAAAGATTATATTAGAATGAAGAGGCTCAACTCCTGAACCTAGATTATCCTGTGTATTGGTCCCAAATGTTGATGGAAGAGAGCAACATTTTGTTACTCAACTACACATTGCATGTGTAAGTGGAGGAAATCAACTGTTCACGAATAGACAGAGACACTTAAAATCTAACAGGTGCTTATGCAAAGGTATCTGCTTTCAAAGCTATTTCAAAAGCAAAAGTAAGTGACTTACCCCACCCATGGCACCCAATGACTTCTTCACATTTGGATTTAAAGGAATATGATAGACACTAGTGAACGTATTGTTCTTAGGGTTGTGGCTGCAAGCAAAGAAATAGACATAAATCAAAATTTAAAATGTACTCGGTGCAAAATGACTAATTATTCTTAAAGGTATTGTTACTTTTCAAAGCCAATACACCAAAAACTGAATTAAGTATTGTTAGCAACTTTCCAGGCAACGAGTCTTAGAGAAAAAAAAAAAAGGCTCAAATGAACCAAATTCAATGTGTACAATGAAACTGGATATGGTCACTTGAAAACATTTGGAAAAAATAAAAATGAATATAAAAAAGTTGTATGTTGTATGTTGTTCCACAAATATCGACAAGTTTGAGATGATGTTATAGTGACTAGAGTTGATCTTTATTAATAAACGTAAGATTTTTCTGTCCATTGTATAAAATCTCCTTTTAGATCTCCAAAGACTGAACCTCAGAAAACACTTTTGGGAGACATTTCTTGGATTTAACCATGAAGTATATGAACTAAGCCTTTCGTTGGCTATTTGTTCTAAAATGAACATAACTCAAGAGGTGCTGGGAACTCAAGGGTATCAAATACTTACGCATGACAATACGGCTTTTTCTGGTGACTCACAAAGTTATTAACAGACAGCATCATCTTGCAGACTTCACAGTGAAAACATGCTTTATGCCATATCTAGAAATCATATAGGAAAGATTTGGAAATCACCTATTTTTCCCACAAATCAGGACTCTTATATACTTCAGTTTAAAAAAAAAACCTGAGATAAGCTGAAGATTTGTATTTTAAGTTAAAAACCACGTGTACAAATGTGATATATTAAACAGATGGATAACTTTTTTCTTTTTTGTTTAAATTGTATTTTTGTTATCTTTAAGTAGTTGTACAAATGAGTTACCATCCAACAAATTATAAGTACAATGCATCTGGAATGATATCACCCCTTTTAACATTCTCTTTCATCCCTATCCACCCAACCCCTCCCCTCAATTTTCCTAATTTTATTGGTTATGCATTGAATATTATAACTGCATTCTCTCTCCCTTTCTCTCTTCATTAACTACACCCCCCCTCCCAGATGGTTAGCTTTTCTTAGGCAACATGGAAGAACACAGAAATGATTGGAATCTAACAAAAGTAGGTAAGACATCTTTTCCTGATAGCTAAAAAATGCCCACATATCTGTATGTGAGAAGATAAATGTCCCATGTGTATTTCTGATTTTCCCAAAGGCTAAGAACTGTTTACTGACCTGATCTATGCAGCTGATCTTCTCAGCAGGATAAACCCCATAGCCACACCTAGAGCAAGCCTGAACATTCATCTTGGAGAGTGTAGACAGAAGACAAATGTAGCAGGTAGGCAAGATCTCTAACTAGAGCCCAGCTGAGTTGCCCGCGTCTCCCAAATCTCAACTACTGTCAAACTCCTATGGGTGCCTTGATCCTTCAGAATCCAACTTCCACCTTCCTTTGCTGACTTTCTGTTTTGAAGTCCGCAGTTGGCTGGCTTTTAAAGCCACCACTTACTCAAGGACTATTTTGGCAACTCACTCAGCACGCATGCGTCTGGGAAATAAGGTGGAGGTATTTCTAGCTGACTTGCTTCTCTAAATAGAAAAGTGAACTCACGGGACAGCATCATGTTTATGTGGATAACAAAATCACGGTGTGTGACTGGGCAGCGTGTGGCACTTAAACACTAGCTGTGATCATAACCCAAGAAAAGAACTTTAAAGAATAACCACACCTTCATGTGATGATCAAATTAGAAAAGCTGACTCTAGACATCCGATGACTAAAGCAGACAGACCAGCTATGCTCCTCAAAATACAGGAAATAAAATAGGGTCCACGCACTTCCCTGGGAAGGTAAAGACTAGATTTAAATTTTAGCTTTATCTACTAAAAATGTTTCGAGCAGTGAAAGTAAACGTTTGGGTTGAATGCAAATATAAGAACTCGTGGTGTTGTGGCTTCTATAATTTTGTTCTGCAGTGCTCCAAAAGAACGTCTCTGATTATACCCTGGGTCCACAGGTCCTAACGGGGTAGTTTGAAGACAAAATCTTTTTTTTCTGACTTTGTGAGGTGACGATTTCCTTTAGTCTATTCTTAAATTATCACCTTATCAAGACACTTTTTAAAAAATGGTGCCTTGGGGCTGAGAAGGTGGCTCAGTGGCAGAGCACTTGCCTTGCATGCATGAGGCCCTGGGTTCGATTCTTCAGCACCACATAAGCAAAAAAGAAAAAAGCCGGAAGTGGCACCGTGGCTCAAGTGGTAGAGTGCTAGCCTTGAGTTGAAGAGCTGAGGGACAGCACCCAGGCCCAGAGTTCAGGCCCCATGACCGGACCCCCCTCCCCCAAAAAAATGGTGCCTTACCTGTTTCTTCCCTGAGCTCATTACTTTCATTATCTATTCCCTCCAGCATCTTTATAGTCTCCATAGCAGCTGCCCATCTAAAAGACTATCAACACATCTGTTGTAAAATATTGTGTCATTTCTATCAAAATATAAGTTCCAACAAAAACAGGATACTTGGGTTCATAATTCCAAGATCTAGAACAAGATCAAGCATGTAAAAGATGCTCAATAAGTACTTAGTGAATTAATGAAATAAGGCTATTACTCACACCATAATGCTTACAGAGACCAGTGTGAAGTCATAGGTCATGGGTCATGGTAGGACCCTCCAAAATGGGTGAGCATGAGCCCCGAGGGAAACAAGCAATATTTCCTGGACAAAGGCTGTGATTACAATCTACATCTATGCCTATATGGAGTCAGTACTCAGCATCACCAAGTATTCTGGTTTTTCCAGAGAAGACAGAGATATGCACTTATACAAGAAGCTGACTCCCAACTGCCCCGGCCTCCTTTTAATAAAACAATGAAACAGGGTAGTATCTTTCTAGTAGGCTACTAATTGATGACCTTTGACCTCCAAAGCTCTGAAATATTCCCCTAGGTAGGTTAAAAGAAACCAGTAGTGTTGATATGACAAAGGGACACTATTGGAGAGTGGAAGGTTAGGTTGGGGGTGCAGACTTCATTCTGCATTCAGGGAGAGGGGACTTACAGCAATGACTCCAAGCTCAGCAGAATCCCAGGCTGAAATATGATCCAAGCAGCAAGACTCCAGATGTTTTGCTAGGTACCAGACTTCTCAAGGCCTTACCTGGGAATGGGCAGACGATGTCTCAATAACTACTGAGAATGAGCTACTTCTCATTCTAGAGGGCTGAGGAATTAAGGTTGATTTCACTGAAGGAAAAAAAACTGCCCAGTATTTTCCTGACTAAGGCTGTGATTGCAGTCTATATCCACAACACTTGTGAAAACAGGAACGGTTGAAATGGATGATGTTTAACTGGACTTGTACTGTAACTTCTGCTGCTTCACTGGATGTCAGAAAGTGAGAGAAGGAAAAACCCTCTGTAACCAAAAATGGAATCACTTAAGGGACTAAAGGTAAGCACACATGGCTAGGGCAAGCAATCCTCATCTGTCTGACAGATACACTGATGGTGAGTGTTTGACCTGCTCTTTAATACACACTGGGTCATTAAGAAGTACTGTGCACAGACAGAGAATTTCTGTCATTCCTCAAACCTACATCTGGTTTGAGACCACTTGGCAGCAGAAAGTTACTATCTGCTTTGGAGATGAATTTGTGTCTTTGATTTAAGATAGCAGCCTGTAAACACTGCCTATAAGAGATCAGACATCAAATATTTTAAGCTTTGTTAGCCACCGCCAATCCATACCTGTTGTGTATCTTTTCTCTTTTCTTATCCTTTAAAAATGTAAGAACCATCCTTAGCTGGTATGCTGTATAAAAATCAGGCCACAGGCAGCCTGTAGGCTGAAGTCTGGAAACCGCTGATCTGAGCAAGCTGCTCACAGGACATCTGGAGCAAGTAGACCTGATGTTCTGTTGGGAAGAGGAAAGGCAAAAGCAGAGAAAAGCTCAGGAATTCATTCAGCCCCATTTGGGCTGGGCTTTGACTGTCTACAGTAAAACCTTATTAAAGCTGAACAATAACACCCAACTACTGGGGCTGTCTTGTCCCGGCCCAGGAGACTATGTTACACCTTGAGTGAAGATTTGGGTATATCTACTGCTAAAGTCCACAGAATCAGAACAGAGGCTTTTTCTGGATTAGGAATACATAGATGAATCCATCCCAGTCTGATCAGAAGAGAGAAAACATATAATAATCTCAACAGGGAAAGGTTAAGATAGCCAGGAACCTGGAATGCTGAGATTGGGTAAAGAGATGAAAACTCTAAGAGAAAAGAGCAATTGTAGATATAATATACTTGAGAATAATGGATGTATTAAGTTTGCAAGGGCGGCCAAATAAGGTATCACGGGTTCAGATGGCATGAACAACAGAAATTCATTTATTACAGCTCAGGATACTAGACATCCAAGATTAAGACATCAGCACAACTGATGATCTCCTGTGAGGCCTTTCTCTACATGTAGATAGCCATCTTCTCATGGTCTTCATATGGTCTTCTCCCTGTGGGTATCTGGCTCCCTATTTTCCACTTATAAGGACAATAGTTACATTACATTATAACCCCCTCCATGCCCATGGCCTCATCCTACCTCCTTTGAGACATGATTTCAAAATATAGCTATATTGTAAGGTACTGGGGTTTCAAAATATGAATAATCCACACAACATATTACAATACATCATAACACAACATGACACCAACACAAACAAGCTGTTGCCCTTAGAGCTGACATAAGGGCCCAAGTAAGGGCTCATCACTTCCTTCTCCTCTCCCGAGGGCAGGGGTCCAAACCTTGCTGGAGAGAGCATGGTTGTAGCTCACTAATTGGCTGAGAAAGTCTACCATGTCAGTAGAACTTGTCAGAAATTAATTTCCCACAGCTTTCTAGGAATCTAGGTCCCAAAAAGAACGTTTCCCAGGGAAGGGAAGGCATTTCCATGAAGGTACCCTGCTACAAAACCACCCGAAACAGAGACAAGGCAGCTGCTCACACACTGTACAGGACACAGCATGCAAAGACCCAGGAAGCAAAACTCTGCATTCAGCAAGGTTGCTCTCGCCCCCAGACAAAGTGTAGCATCAGCCTACTGATTTAAAGGGTTTAGGTAAACATTCTTAGAACAGACAAAAAAGGAGGAATTTGCAGATGAGAGGCAACTAACTGATGGCAGATGAAACGTGAATTCTTCCTTTAAAGGAAGACAAGGATTATTCCAGGACCCAGAGCTTCCTGCTCTCCTTACCTCGTAGAAACCAGCAGGAGTTCAGCAGAGGCCAGATGTTGGGTTTGGCCCTGTGGATGTTGAGAGTGGCCTTTTGATTCATCCTGGGATCTCCTCCTGCAGATGTCTGTGTAAAGTCACAACCTGAATGAAGCATCTCTGTGGATGGCTGGAGAAGCATCAACATAGCACTGGATGAGGTAGGGTACCAGGAGGGTGGGCTTGACAACTTAGCCACTAGAGGGAAAAGGAGAGAAACTACAAAGGTCCCCTCTAAAAGCAGCCATGAGGCCCTCACTGTACTTTGTGCATAACCCGCAAAATCCTAGGTTTACAAGTGAGATAAATCAGAGATCAACAGCTTTGCTTTACAGGTAGGAGTTTTCATTTCTGAAAAGATTCACAACCTCCTTCCTTCAAAAAGTCAAGTATCTTAGCATATACAATGACTCAGCTTACCCTTTCCAAAACATGCCAATAACAGTTTTAAATAAAATCTAGAACAGCCTGCCACATCAGAAATCATACAAATGTCCAAGAAAAATATTCAGGATTTTCTCAGGAGCCAAGTATTTATGATTCCCTTACACTTACCTGGTTAAGTCTTTCAAACCAAGAAAGTGATGTCCTTACTTGGGGAGATTTTAGAAACAATTCTGAAACCTCAGGCCCAAGTGAAAACAAGCAAAAAAAAAAAGCTTTGATGACCGATGCCACACCATGAAGCCTGTACCCTTAATACTCAATGCTTTGGTAGTTCTTAAAAGCCAATGTCTCGCCTGGCACCAGGGGCTACTCAGGAGGTTGAGATTTGAGGATTGCCATTCAGAGCCAGCCAGGGCAAGAAGGTCTGTGAGATTATCTCCAATTAACTAGCAAAAGGCTGGAAGTGGAGCGGCGGTTCAAATGGTAGAGCAAGCACTAGCCTTGAACAAGAAAGCCCAGAGACAATGCCCAGGCAGGCCCTGATTTCAAGCCCCAGGACAGACACCACATAAAAGAGAGAGGGAAAGAGAAAAGAAGGAAGGGAGGGAGGGAGGGAGGGAAGGGAGGGAAGGAGGAAAGGAAGGAAGAAAAAGAGGGGGGAAGGGAAGGAAGGAAGGGAGGAAAGGAAGGAAGGAAAGGGAGGGAGGGAGGAAAGGAGGAAGGAAGGGAGGGGAAGGAAAAATGGTATCAAAACTACTTTCTCTTCTCTTTGACCTCATTTAGTGTGAATGAGTTCAGGGGGGGGGGTATCAGAGGCCTCGTGTGTGTGTGTGTGTGTGTGTGTGTGGGTGGGTGGGTGTGTGTGTGCCCCCGTGCGTGCGCCTGTGCTGGAGGGACGGGACGGAAACCTCTGGAATTGCCATCTCTCCCCCACTAGGCCTCGCGTCCGCTACTTGACACACGGGGGCGCCCGGCGAATCCGCCTGGCACGGCCCCGGCGCCCTCGCCTTTCCCGCGGCGTGGGCGGAGAGGCGCGCGCTGGGCTGCGGAGAAAGTGAAGTTCGCGCCTGGCGTCCGCGCGCCGAGGCTGGAGGTCGCGAGGCCCCGGCGCCCCCCGAGGGCCGTGGCCTGGGAGGAAGGTGAGCCCGGCGCGGGGCGAGGCAGATCCCGGGGCGGGGGATGCGAACCGGGGCCGCGGCCGAGGGGGCCGGGGCGGGGACGGGCGCGCGGAGAGCTCCGGGGTGAAGGGGTCGCCGACCCCGGGCATCCCCGGGCCTCCCCGCGCACCCGGGCGGGCTTCCGGGCCCCTTCGCCGGCGGCCACTCCGGAGCGTGCCGGCGGGGCCGTTCGCGCGCTGCCCTCCGTGCCGGGCGTCCGGCCCCCGAGGGCGGCTCCGCCGATCCCGCCCGGCCCCGACGGCCCCGCCGGCCCCGCCCCGGCGGCCCGGGACTTTTACTTTCGCTTCGGCTCGAGCCGCCCGGACCCTCAGGACGGAGGAGGACCGAGGCCGCCGCGGACGCCGCTCTTCCCCGCCATGCAAGGCACGGTAACGGGGCGGGGGGGGGGGGTCCCCGGGTCCGCTGGCGCGCCGCCCGCCACCGGCTTCCTTCTCGCCCCCGCCCACCCCGCGCGCGCCCTTCCCGCCCCGCGCGTCCCCGCGGTCCGCGGCGGCGGCGGCGGCTCCGACGGCGGCGGAGAGGACTTAGGAGAGGACCCTCCGCGCCCTCCACCGCTGCTCCGTCCAGCCGCCACCCCCTCACCTGGCCTGGGGTCTTGGCCACAGCACCTTCCAGAATGTGGCCGGGAAGGTCGGGGGGGTGGGGGAGAATGCCCTTGGGTACTGCGGACCACCACGAGGCCTCAGGATTCCTTCCAGTTCTCGGCCCACCATCTCTTGACTGGCAAGCGGACTCGCTCTCCCTCCGTCCCTCCTCCCTCTCTCTACCTCTCTCCTCTCCCCTTCTCCAGCTCTCTCTCTCTCCTCTCTCTCTCCTGCCTGTCTCTCTGTGTTACATGGGAAGGTTGGTGATCCTGGCTGACTTGGTGTATACCTGAAAGGAGAGGGTCTGGCTAGGTGCACAGCAGGGCCAAGTTAAGGCTAAGTATGCTTGAGCCACTCTCATTGTACCTTTGCTGCAGGTAGCTTGGGCAGGTGACAAACAGGCAGGTGATGCTTGGTCTGTGGACTCTTGACTCCTGGTGACTTGGCCACCTTTCACCCTCCTGTTTAGCGTCCTGGTTTTATGATGAAGTAAAATTGTTCTCAGGTGGGTTGAGCCCAGGCCTTTTCCCTTGAACTACTGGGCGGCTTGATGTAGCCTTGACCTTCACATACTTGCAGGCTGTTTCCACCTCCTGACTGCCAGCCTGGGTTTACAGTCCACCTTGGGCAAGCACCTGTGAACTGTGGTTTGGAGGCAGATGGTTACTTGAGCTCTTCCAAGAAATTGAAGTTTATTTCGCAAGATGAGTAAAATGTCTTGATGGTGCCATGAACCTCCTTGTATGCCCAGCCCCCTTTCCCCTATCAGGGACTACAAGGTTGGGCAGAGGTTATCAGAACATTTTTTTTCTCTTTGAGAAAAGAGAATACATGTCTTTATTTGGGCAAGAAGTGAGGTGTAGATTTGTGATGTCAGTGTGTTTCCCCTGAATAAAGAAAAACAAGTTTAGACAATAGCTGGGAAGTGACTTCCTACCAAGCACTGTAATTCAACTGTGGAAGTCTATTAAATATGTTTACAAATAAGCACTAATCACTTTTAGTCTTTACAAAAGATGTTTACATTTTTTGGTAGTACTCAGGTCTTAGTTCAGGATTTTGCTTAGTTCAGGTGTTTGCTTAGCAGATTCTCTACTACTTGAGCCATGCTCCAGGTACAGCTGAATTTAGATACTTAGATGGCTGGCTCCAGGACTTTCTCCTGCTGCATGCTTATTTGATCCGTGTGTGTGTATTGGGGGAAGGGAGGGGGGAGAAAGGTATTGGTATTGGGGCTTGAACTCAGGGATTTGTGCTTTCAGTTAGCTTTCAGCTTGATTGGTCATGGCTAATGCTCTCCCACTTGAGTCACACATTCTGTCCAGTCTTCCCTTTAACCTCTGGATCTCATCTTCCTGAATAGCTATGATTAAAGGTGTGGAGCCACCAGAGCATACCTGGTTTTCTTGGTAGGATGGTGAGGATGAAACTAAGAGTCAAATTCAAGTTCTGACCAGGATGCAGTAACCTTACAGGTCAGACACTTTTACTAGTTACCACCCTGGGCCCCTTGAATGTTTGAAAACATCAAGCACAGCCCAGTAGGAATAAGGAAGGAAGTGAATGGTTAGCTTAATAGATTTAGGAGTCAAGTTCACTACCACTGACTTAGGTGGTTATAGGAAGGCTTCCTGCCACCCCAAAGAGCATGCAGCATTACCCCAGACAGATTCCCTGAGACAGAAGTCCTCATGGTTGATTTATGGAGAGAAAGCCTCCCACCGCTGAGCCATAAAAATCAGCCTGATCAGCAGATGGGGTCTTTAAGTTGTCCTTTCTTCAATGGGACATCCAGATGTTTGATGACTACACATTGCTCTACCTGCCTCGTACCCTTCCTGTTTCCCCTTCCAGATCTCAAGGAAGGTGTTTCATTTCTGCAAACTTTGATTACTTTGGGGCTCCTTGAGGTCCCCTGTATGGCATGATCAGTTGCCCTCAGTACTCGTCCCATAGTTACAGTTTGATTTTTGTGCCATCTTTTGTCAAGATCTGTGCCCTAGCATGGCAGGATAAGGTTACTTTGCTTGCAGGTGTGTACCTGGCCCCTAGCAAAGGCTTGGGGCATTGGACTTCCGGGAAATAGTCATTGAATGAAGAAGACTTTCCAAAATTCTAAGATATTCCAACAATGTTAAAAACAAACATTTGATTTTTATAGAGCCATTAGGCTTGAAGTTCTCCTAAAAAAAAAAAAACAAAACTGGGCTCCAGTGGCTCCCACTTGTAATCCTAGCTACTCAGGAGGCTGAGATTTCAGGGTCTGAGGATTGTAAGGCTCTTATCTCCAATTAACCACCCCAAACCCAGAAGTGGAGCTGTGGCTCAAGTGTTAGGGTACTAGCCTTGAGCAGAAAAGCTCAGGGACACCTGCCAGACCTTGAGTTCAAGCCCCAGGACTGGCGCATGCACACACACACACACACACACACACGCACACGCACACAAAACCCCACAACACTGTTTAGATATCACTGACATCCTAGCTACTCAGGAGGCTAAGATCTGAGGGTCACGGTTTAAAGCCAGCCATGAGCAGACAAATCTGTGAGACTCTTAAACTCCAGTTAACCAGTAAAAAGCCAGAAGTGGACATGCGGCTAAAGTGATAGAGTGCCAGTCTTGAGCAAAAAACCAATTGGGAGCCAGTACACACACACACGAGATATAATTGACATATAGAAAGCTGTGCATATTTAATATATACATCTTAAATATAAATGTATATATACCTGTAAAATATCACTACCACACATCTATTACCTCCTATGGTTCTCTTTATTATTATTGGGGAGTAGGGAAGAACATTTAACATAGTTAAGTGTTAATATACAGTATGCTAGCCATAGGCATGGGCTATCAAGAAGATCTCCAGAATGTATTTATAATTGAAATTTTGACCCCTTCGACTATCACTCCTCCATTTTCCTCTCCCAGTGTCGTTTTTGTGGCCAGTGTTCTATGGCATGATGAAGGCCGGAACCTTCTCTTCTGCTGTTACATACACATCCTGTCTGTTTTTAGTGATCACTTTGTTTTTATCATCACACATCCTACATTAATTTTAGCAAGAAGGGCCAAGATTTGCTGCTAATTGAAGTTAGAGTCTTTCTTTTTTTCTGGTAGATTTTGTAATACGTGTACTTTAGAAAATACTCAAGTAAATGGTTAGCTGATTGCAATCCTCTTTGAAAGGTAAGGCAGTCTCTTTGAAGGAGATAGAATGAAAATGGCTATGGGTTGGTGGTCTGCATGCCTGGTCATATACTTATCTTCTCCATAGATGGGGTTATCTCTAGTTTGTGGGGGGGAAAACATTTTGGGGCCTAATCTGAAAAAAAGATATTCCTCCCAGTTAGAAATACGTTGGTGGTGGCAACAAGAGGGGCTTGTGATATACAGAAACGAGATGACCCTGTAACTTCTCATAGCCACTGTGGAGATGGGGCCTCTGGCCCCTCTTCCTTTTTGATTCTCTTGCCAATGCCTGCCTCTCCCTTAGGTGAGCTGGAATGACTACAAGTCCATGGACTTGCTTTCATAGACTAGCTTTTCTGAGCTAGATTCCTGCTTCTATACTTCCAAAAGTCACGACTTGTGCTGTGGGGCTCAAGATGTTCTATAAAATAGATGCCTTCTTAGCTGGGTGCAGGTGGCTCACGATGGTAATCCTAGCTATTTGGGAAGAGGCTGAGATCTGAAGATCACTGTTTGAAGCCAGTCCAGGCAGGCAAGTCAAGAGAGACTCTTATCACCACTTAACCAGCAAAAAGCCAGAAGTGGAGGTGTGGCTCAAATGGTAGAGTACTAACTGGAAGAAATAAAGCTAAGCAAAGAATGTGAGGCCCTGTGAGGCCCTGAGTTCAAATACCAGTTCTGGCGCGCGCCCACACACACACACACACACACACACACACGTTTGTACAGAACTACACCTTTTCATCTGTGGCTTCTGAGAGACATCTCTTAGGTAGAAATTGGAGAGGTTTCACTTTGCTGCTGAAAGAAGATTCCTGACTCCTGCACGAGGAAAGAAACAGGTTTTAGTTTGTAAGAAATGATTTGAATATTAGCTCTCTTTGGGCCAGCTGAATCATGTTCAGCTAAATTCTGTCCTATTTGAATATTCACTTTTCCTAGCCTTTTACTTAGTTAATACTCATTCAGTAAATACCCCTGTGAGCCCAATGTTTCTACCATATAAGATGAATTTACATTTTGCAGAAGCCAAGTGTTTTTCACTGTGCCAGTACACAAGATGAATTGAGGGCTAGGTTGGAAATGGACAACAGCCACGTTGTAAATATTCTGGACTGTGCCCTTAATACTTCACCCTGCTTTCAGAGAAGACATGGACTTCGATGAAATTACATGAATGGCCCTGGTTGTGTTCCAGTAGAACCTTAGTCACCAAAAAAAAGGTGATGGGCCACAGTTTGCAGACAACTTTTCTTTCAGGAACCTACAGATAATGAGAACCTGCTGAAGGTTCCTGAACAGGAAAATCCTGTAATGGCAGTCCATTTTAGAGGAACCATTTCTAAAGTCAGCTGAAACAGAAAGAGTGCTCAGTGAAAGCTTGCTACTCCTTTCGAGTTATGTTTGAGCCACTCAAGCCAGGGATGACATCCAAGGATTTAGGGAGAACTTTCTGGTTGTTACTTTGACAGAACTTCCAGAGCCTAATACACACACTGCACATGTCACAGATTTGTGCCGAGTTAGAAGCTCCATGAGGCCTTTGCTTTCTACACTGCTACATGTGTACTCATTCTCTGGCATGAGCTTATGTTTGGCCCTCACATATTTAAATATATTAGTGGGGTAGAAACTCTAGAACTTAAATACAGAAGACTTATCCATGTTGATATGTTAATAGCATTTAAAAGCATCACGAAGCCAGCAGTGCCACTGAATCCCAGCTTTGTGGTTTGCTTTTCCTTCTTAGATGGCAGATGACCAGGACCACATGGAGAAACAGGCAGCCGGGGATTCTGTGAGTCCAGATGCAGTTGATGCAAAGCCAGACCGGTCCTCATTCGTAGCAAAACTGTTAAGGTAAGTTTACTTCCGATGTCGATCTCAGCTGCCACACCTCTGTCGTCTCCACTCACCCGTGCAAAGGCAGCATTGGGGAATGGAGGCCTCTATAGGACCTTGCCAGCTGAAAAACCGCACTGGACTGCACTGGATTCCCAGTGTATGTCCTCTGGGTTCTAGGACAAGCTGAGGAGTGGGGGAACCATACTGTGCGGATCTTCTGCCCATAAGCTGTGTGTCCAGGGACAGTTTCCAGGAATGAGGGCTATTTTCATCAGAGATGACTTGCAGAGCAAAGCTGGGGCCTGCTGCCACTACTTGGGACTAAGCTTGGCTAGAAGGCAGAATAAAGAGGTGTTATGATGACCAGCTTCCACCTACACCTTCAGACACATCCCACAGGTGTATGATGACAACCGCATCTCTTGTCCATTGGCTCCCACCTTTCCCTTTCTGGAGTCTGAAGTAACTGGTTTGGGATGCCCCCTCACAGACCACCAGAGACCACAATCAATGCAAACAGCAAAGAGTCGTTTACTGCAAGCTCGAGCTTGGTCCTCTGCGCACTCAGTAACCGGTGACGCTGAGACCCTGAGCACAAAATTAGCACAGCTTTTATAGTATTAAATTCACAAGTTCAGGGGGTTTTCACACAAGCAAGTTCACAAGTTCAGGGGGTTTAAGTCCACCCTGACTGCACTTCCCTTTTTCTGATGGAATACTGGGCAACTGTTCTGTTCCTTAAGGGTGGGCAGGGTTGGTGGCAACCTGCGGTTTTTCCGAGAACTATTTTTCTCTTTGGCAGCACAGCTTTCCTTGGGGGTTTACTCTGAGGGCAGCACAGCTCAGGGAGCTTGATCTTAAAATGGAGTTACTTTAGCTCTTCAGAGTCTACTTCTATAGTTCCCGATTTTATAGTCATGCCTGTAATCCTAGCTACTTAGGCCGAGCTCTGAGGATTGAGGTTTGAAAGCCAGCTAGGGCACACGTATTTGAAAGGTCCTTATCTTCAATTAATCAGCAACAAAACAGAAGTGGAGGTATGGTTCAAGTGGTAGAGTGCTAGCCTTGAGTAAAAAAGCTAAGAGAATAGTTTAAAAAAACATTCACAATTTTACATTTAATAATTATTATGGCTTCATTTATTAAACTTCGATATGCTAGCTTGGAATTACTATATTTTGTCCACATAATCCCAGGACATGGCTCTCTTGTTATCAAGATTTGACTTGGAGAGAAACAGAAGTGTTAAGAGGCTTAATAGCTTGCTGATGACTGTCAAAAAATCAAAGAGCTGAGATCAGACTTTAAACAGCACCAGCATCACATTTCATGTAAGGATTCATCCTTTCTATTTAAAAAGAAGAGGGCTACAGAGGTATAGAGGAACCTTGTACCTCCCCTTAACCTTGACCAGCCATGGCTGGGCAGTGAATGAGTTTCCTGACAGGAAGCAGTAGCCATCCCTGGGTCAGAAGCATTAGACTTCACCATACAATAGTCCCAGCCCTCTCTTTATCCACAGTTTTGCTTTTTGAGTTTCCATGGGCTACTATGACTTAAAAATATTACATGGAAAATTCTAGAAATAATTCATAGGTTTTGAACCGCAGTCCATTCTGAGGAATATGATGAACTCTTTGACCATCTGGCTTTGTCCCATTCAGGATGTGAAGCAGCGTTTGTCTAAGTTCATTACTAGCTGTCTCAGTTTATGGCAGCATCTGTCCAGGTATGGCAAAGCTTATGCCCAGGTCACCTGTACCTTATGTAATTATGGCCCCAAAGTGTAAAATGATAAGGCTAGAGAAGTCATGCAATACTTCTTTAAATGAGAAACTAATGAAGATAGAGAACAATCTTGTGCTGCGGTATAAGAACAGATCATCTATCTGTGAAATTGGAAAGAAGAGGGAACAATTTTTGCTAGATGTGCTGTCACAATCTCACCCTGCCTAAGCTTGTCCTCCGTGTGTGTGTGTGTGTGTGTGTGTGTGTGTGTGTGTGTGTGTGTGTGTGTGTGTGTGTGTGTGAGTGTGTGTGTGATAATTGCTTTGTTGCAATGGAAAGGCATGAGGTCAGATCATAGATGGGCTTTCAGACAGCCATTGGAGTCTGGGATCTTGTGCCCCACTGGTAAGAAGGCACCACTGTCCATCCTCAGACATGCCCACCCAGGAGAGACACAGCAGGAAATTAGAGATTAGAGAGTGCTCCCTAGCAGTGCTCCAGAGAGGAAGAGTTGATAGCAAGAGGCAGTCTAGTTCCCTGCAAACATTCCCCCCTCCCATGCAAAAGAGAAGAAACCTTGGGGCCATGTTGTCACCGACAAGATTTGGAATAGGGGGAGGGATTCTAACACATGGAACTTGAATTCCATTGGTTGCCATTGAGGGTCAAGAATATCCAATGAAATGACCCAAAAATGTAGCTCTAACTCCTGGGCATGTTCACAAACCAAGAGGTAAATTGGTTCAGGCTGATACCACACCATGTAAAGCCAAGTTTCTTAGAGCACAGGCCTCCAATTTCTTGACGTAGAACTAAGCCCAGCCTTGTATAGTTACATGCATAGTGGCATCAGAATTTTTAAAGATACTTTCAAATAATATAATATTTTCATTTTTTCCCATTCTTTTGTATTTAGGTTAAGTAAATGGCTTCTCAGTGAAAGAGAAAGTTATTATTTGACAATCATTTAAAAAAGTTTAGTAAAATCAGAAACAATATAAAGGAATGCTGTGTTGTAAACACTGACATTTAAAACTCATTTCTTTAAATATATCCAGTGATGGAAATCCATTGCCCATTAAAAAAAGCCATGACATTACCTGACTTATGAAACTGTAACCCTTCTATACATCATCTTATACTAGCAATTTTAAAAAAGACATGAAAGCTCTTAATGAACAACCAGATTTCTTTAGAGGGGGACTTGAACTCTGATGTCTCACGTCTTCACTTAGCTTTTTTTGATCAAGGCTGGTGCTCTGCCGCTTCAGTCACACCTTACCCTTTTGCTAGCTAATTGGAGCTACGAGTCTCATGGATTTGTCAATCTGGATGAGCTTCAAATTATGATCCTTAGATCTCAGCCTTCTGAATAGCCAGAATTACAGGGATTAGTCATGGCATCTAACTAACAAAAAGAATTTCCATGATTTTTACATCCATAAACTATTTTTTCTTCCCATTTTATACCCCCTTACAGTTTATTCTGATACAATAGATTTAGTTGGGTTTATTGTTCACTTCATTATACAGCTATGAATATATATGAAAGCATTCTTTCAGATATCAATAATGTTATAAGAAACTTCTTAGACAAAGTTTCTATTTCAGTTATTATTAATTCATAGTTGATCTAAGCAAATATATGATAATAAATCTTAGAATTATTAAATTCATTACTCATCAAAATAATTCTTAAGTAGAAACAATTCCATTGGGTGGGTTTTCAAAAAGTTTCCCAATAATTGAACAAATAACCCTGATTGCTGGAATAAGAAAAAGTTAAAAATGTTGTCTCTTTTCCCTACTTTTTGTGTTTAGAGACAAAAGCACTGAAAAATATAAAGGCACAGAAACACTTATGGGATGGTAGGAATTTTGTTATGGTAATATCACTTAATTCTTGAAGTTTTTCTGAGCTCTGTGCCACAAAGGACAACTCAGTTAAGTGCTTCTTCCATGAAGTTGAAAGTAAAGATTTGGAACTTGCCAGGCACCCATGACTCACAGTGTAATCCTTAGCTACTCAGGAGGCTAAGATCTGAGGATTCTGCTTCAAAGCCAGCCTGGACAGAAAAGTATATGAGATGCAAAAGACCACAAGTGGAGGTATGACTCAAGTGGTAGAGCACCAGCCTTGAGGGAAAAAACTAAGGGAAAGGGCCCAGGCCCTGAGTTTTAAGCCCTGACACTGACATTGAAAAAAATAAAAAGATAGTACCTGAATTACAAAAGGAGTGTTGTTCGACCTTTGGAATTTTGTATTGTTTTGTTTTAGTTTCTGGAAAGTACCCTGAAAAGACAGTACCAAAATCCCCACCCCTCTCAAATTGTTGCCTGTTCTTTTACTTAGAGGCAATCTGGTGTAACTTAAACTATTCCCCCCAAAAAGATCATTAAAGAAGCATGAGTCATTCTTAATTCGTATATCAAAATCTTGCAGCTGCCAGTGTAGGGCATACATTTATGGGAACTGCTGTATTATGTATTTGGCAAAGTCAGCTTGCCAGATAGGTTACTCCCAACCCCCACCAGCCTTGCTTCCTGTTGAAAGGTCTCATACCATTTTCAACTTCAATAAATGTCTTATTAGGTGTCTTGCGACAATCATCATGTTTCACAATTCTAAAATCTAGTTCTTGGATGGATGGATAGATGGAAGGAAGGATGGGAGGGAGGGAAGGAGGACCTGGGGAAAGAAAGAATACCAAATCCAGCCCTATTGTTGATTGCTCTCACAGAACTCTAGCACTACAGGAATAAAATCTTCTAGAACTATCAAAGGAAAAAGGAAACAAGGCCATTAAATGAAATCTGTCATCCTCATTCATCCTACAAGGCCTGGATCTCTGTATATTCAATACTTTTCAGTATTTAACTGGATTTGGAATTGCAAGTACACCTCACCCCCTAGCCTCCACCCCGCCTATTTCTAACACCAGACCTCACTCTTCTCAGACTGTTGTCTACCTGGAAGAGTTACCACAGTCTCTGATCCCAAGAACCTTACAGATAAGGCAGTTTACTTGACTTTTTGGTAGATGATGTAGGTGAAGATCTGGTAGGTGAGTCTGCCTTCCTTTCATTCAGTTGAGAAAGAGAAAGTGAATGGGAAGTAGTGTCTCAGAAGCACTTTTAAGACAAAAACACACAAATGGAAGCTAGGGATCTAACCATTTATTTGTTCCTTTGAGACTGTTGGTTGTATGTAGCCTTTAGGAATCTTGGAGAGCCTTACTTGAAGACCACAGCCCTAAGCCCTAGTTTGCCTAATGAGACTCATGTAT